TAGATGAACATAATTTGTTGAGGAAGCGTCAACATGCTTTTAGTAAAGGGAAATCACGCCTCACCAATCTACTAGAATTCTTTGAGGGGGGTCAACAAGCATAGGGACCAAGGGGATCCAGTGGATATAGTGTACTTAGATTTTCAGAAAGCCTTTGACAAGGTCCCTCACCAAAGGCTCTATGCAAAGTAAGCTGCCCCAGGATAAGAGGGAAGGTGCTCTCATGGATTGGTAACTGGTTAAAAGATAGGAAACAAAGGGTAGGTATAAATGGACAGTTTTCAGAATGGAGAGAGGTAAATAGTGGTGTCCCCCAGGGGTCTGTTCTGGGACCAGTCCTATTCAACATATTCAGAAATGATCTGGAAAAAGGGGTAAACAGTGAAGTGGCAAAATTTGCAGTTGATACACAATTACTAAAGATAGTTAAGACCCAGGCAGACTGCGAGGAGCTACAAAAGGATCTCTCAAAACTGGGTGACTGGGCAACAAAATGGCAAATGAAATTCAGTGTTCATAAATGCAAAGTAATGCACATTGGAAAGCATAATCCCAACTATACATATAAAGTGATGGGGTCTAAATTAGCTGTTACCACTCAAGAAAGAGATTTTTGAGTCATTGTGGAGAGTTCTCTGAAAACATTCACTCAATGTGCAGCGGCAGTCAAAAAAGCGAGCAGAATTCTGGGAATAATTAAGAAAGGGATAGATAATAGGACAGAAAATATGTTGCCTCTATATAAATCCATCGTATGCCCACATCTTGAATACTGAGTGCAGATGTGGTCGCCCCCTCTCAAAAAAGGTGTACTGGAATTGGAAAACGTTCAGAAAAGGGCAACAAAAATGATTAGGGGTATGGTATGGCTTCCGTATGAGGAGAGATTAATAAGACTGGGGCTTTTCATCTTGGAAAAGAGACGGCTAAAGGGAGATATGATAGAGACCTATAAAATCATGACTGGTGTAGCGAAAGTAGATAAGGAAGTGTTGTTTACTACTTCTCATAACACAAGAACTAGGGGTCACCAAATGAAATTAATAGGCAGCAGGTTTAAAACAAATAAAAGGAAGTATTTCTTCACACAACACACAGTCAACCTATGGAACTCCTTGCCAGAGTGTGTTGTGAAAGCCAAGACCATAAGAAAAAAGAACTAAATAAATTCATGGAGGATAGGTCCATCAATGGTCCATCAATAGCCAGGCTGCGCAGCAATGGTGTCCCTAGCCTCTGTTACAAGAAGCTGGGAATGAGCGACAGGGGATGGATCACTTGATGATTATCTGTTCTGTTCATTCCCTCTGGGGCACCTGTCACTGGCCACTGTCAGAAGACAGGGTACTGGGCTAGATAGACCCTTGGTCTGACCCAGTAGGGCCATTCTTATGTTCTTATCACGATGGTCCTTTCTGACTTTAAAGTCTGAGTCTATGCTACAATTTGATATCTCTGGAGCCTGAGCACCACGAGCCAGAGTAGACTGACGTGGGCCAGCCACAGCCACGCCAGGAGTCTTTTATTGCAGTGTAAACATACGCTACTGGTCTTAAGGGAACTGGGAATGTTATTAATTGTATCGCAGTAGCGTCTAAGAACCCCAGTCATGGATCAGCCTCTTGTGCTTGGGAGGAGCTCCCCGTAAACATGCGCAAAGCTAGTTCCCTATTCTCCTTCAAATGCCTCCTTAAAATTTTCCTTTGCTGTGATACGTTAGGCCACTGGTGTACTGTCTATCATGCTGACCAATATTGTCTTGTTTCCTTGTGCTCCTCTGGCTGTCCGTATCCATTGGTTGTCTCTTATCTTGTAAGTGATGAACTAGGAAAATGATTTTTCCAACAGCATTATCATTTGTCTCATTCCTGGTCATTACTGGACAGTGGAAGTGCTCTTTCCTCCAAATAGTACTGTATAAACTTTTGCAACATGGAGATCAGAAGGAAGAGCTAACTGATCAATAACATGCATGTTCCTTTATTTGGAATCCTATGACGCTTTTGAAGCTTTTTAATTTTTTGTGGTCTTGGGTTTTTGGGGTTTTTTTTCTTTTTAACCCTTCTGTTTATCAGAATTAACATGAATGGAAACTTTTGTGATCAGATTTTTGTCAGCTGCACATCCTCTTTCAGTGTGTACCCTTACTGAGTTTGTCTCGGATTCCATGTACAACTCCTGCACTTCACTGCTTCGCGTGAATATCAAGCAACTCTTAATCTCTACTAGGAGAGTTTGTTTTCCTGTATGCTGCCTACCGTTAAAGATAGTGGCAGGTAAAGAATAAACCGAATGGCACAGCTAATCTAGACCCATTCTACTGTTCGTGATCACAGCTATATTCTGCTGAAGCGGGGGTGGCGAACCTGTGGCTCCGGAGCCACATGCGGCTCTTGAGAAGTTAATATGCAGCTCCTTGTACAGGCACTGACTCTGGGGCTGGAGCCAGGGGTGGCAGGTTTGTAGAGATTTTGGTGGAGCCCAGAACCCACCCCCGCCCAAACGCCGCCCACCACCTGCTCTGGGAGGGAGTTTGGGTGGGGGAGGAGGTCTGGGGTACGGGCCCTAGGCTGGGGCAGGGGATTGGGGTGCAGGTTCTGGGAGGGAGTTTGGGGATGGGAGGGGGTGCAGACGAGGGGTTTGGGGTATGGGAGGGGCTCAGGGCAAGAGTAGGGGTGAGGGCTCTGTCTGGGGCTGGGAATGTGGGGTGTGGGAGGGGCTCGGTGAGAGTAGGAGTGTGGGGGGTGAGGGCTCTGTCTGGAGCTGGGGGGTTTGGGGCTTAGAAAGGCTCAGGGCTGGGGCAGAGGGTTGGTGTGCAGGGGGATGAGGGCTCTGGCTGGGGCTGGAGATGAGGGGTTTGGGGTGTTGGAGGGGCTCAGGGCTGGGGGTAGAGGGTTGAGGGTGTGTGGGGGGGTGAAAGCTCTGTCTGGGGGTGTGGGATCTGGGGTGGGGCAGGGCTGGGGATGAGTTTGGGGTGCAGGCAGGCTGCTCCGGGACAGGGGCCAGAGAGGAGGACTCCCCCCAGCCCTTTCCCTGATGGCAGCAGTGAGCTCTGGGGGAGGAGCCCCCCTTTCCCGCCCCTCCAGCAGCATACTCACCCCCACCACTGTCACGGCATGTGCTCTAGGGTCCCTCTCAGGCCCAGGAATCTCCCCCACCTCCCCCGTGGTGGGTGCCGGGGGGTGCTGTGTGCCCCTCCCCTGCTGTTGCCCTGACTGTAGTCTCACTGGGGGTGAGGGATGGGGCTGCCCCTTGCCCAGCATGGGGCAGGAGTGGTGACTGCCGGCGTGGGGGCCCCCTGTGCTGGTGGAGGGTCCCGCCAGAAAAGGGAAGGGTCTGAGGTGGAAGGGCAGGCTCAGAGTCAGTCTGCCCTGCCAGTGGAGATGGGAGTTGCTGTAGGGAGGCAGCATGGAGCTGCAGGGCAGAGGTGGAGGCAGGGAGGCTCGCAGTGGTGGGCCGGGGGCAGCAAGCGGGGGCCGGGGGACACTCGGGAGGTGCGGGGGGGGGGAGGGGTGAATATGGTGGAGCTGGGCCCCTGGGCTCTGAATATTGCTGGTGCCAAGGCACCTCGTGGAGATATAACTCACCGCCCCTGGCTGGAGCTACAGGTGCCAACTTTCCAATGTACCAGGAGGTGCTCACTGCTCAACCCCTGGCTCTGCCACAGGCCCTGCCCCCACTCCACCCCTTCCCGCCCTGTCCCCTAAGGCTGCCATGCCCTCGCTCCTCCCTTCCCCCCCCCAAACCTCCTGCATGCCACGAATCATCAGCAGGTGTTGGGATGGAGGGGGAAGTGCTGATCGGCAGGGCTGCCGGTGGGTGGGAGGCGCTGGGACCGGGGGGCAGGGAACTTATTCGGGGGGTGCTGACTTATTACTGTGGCCCTTTGACAATGTACATTGGTAAATTCTGGCTCCTTCTCAGGCTCAGGTTGGCCACCCCTGTACTGAAGTGTAGGGGTGGGAGTGACAAGGCTGTTTAAGCCGCTGGCCTATTGCTGTGAAGCTCTCTCCTGAATTAGAACTTCCATGAATCTGGCAGTCTTCAGATCACAATGGAAAACTTGCTGCTTTGAATGTAACCTTCCCAGGATAAAAACAAATTAAACTGAAAGGAGTTGACTTTCGGTAGGAAGAATTTTCATGGAGGAAGATGGTGATCTGGAAGGCCCTCAGTTTCCATGCTAATGAGTGTGGCATAAGAGAGAGAAGAGATGAAATAGATTCCATGGAAGGCTGTTGGGCAAATACCAAACAATTAGGAGACAAGCTTTGAGCACATTTAAGTCACACAATGCCCCAGATGGGTCACTGGAAGTGGGGATTGAATGTGGGACCTATGGCTCTAAAAGAAGGAGTCTCTTACTCCCTGAAATGAATAAGACCCGGGTCTATTTATCTCAAAGGCTGTTGCAGACCTGTAAATCTCTGTGGACCAGCCATTAGAGGGCGGCAGAGAGCCACACTGTGTAAGAGAAGGTTACAGCGATACTACAAAATATTTCCTGTTGCTGCTAGCACCTGTTCAGCTGCATCGGTGATGGGAGCCCTCATGTCTACCAGACTGCAGTAGCTTGAGGCATTTTTACCACTACTATGTCAGTTAAACCTGTTGAAGAGCAGGTGTGAATAACATGGTCGAACAATAGTGTCTGGCAGCTGGAGCTTTGTCTGTCCTGAGCATTGTGATGTGCCAGCATCACATGCCATATGTTATCTGAATGAGGCTGACTCAGTAACAAAGAGGTGGGAACTGCCTCACTTATCTCAGTGTGTTATCTCTGAAGCATAATGATGGCAATTTTAAATGACAGTGCTGATAACTGTTTCGCTGAATCAGTTAATCAGTTTAACAGAAAGATCCCAGCTACTCTGGGATTGTGGGAGGAAAATGGGATTGTAGGTGGAGCTTGGGTAGAATGTACCCATCTGTGCTCCCCGTTCAAAATCTGCCGTCTTATCTTGTGTCTAAACTGCATCTTGTTTCTTTTTGCATTGCAGTGCATTTACACAGGTGTTCACCTTCGGCCCAACCTTTCGAGCCGAGAACTCTCAAAGTCGCAGGCACCTGGCAGAGTTCTACATGGTAGAAGCAGAGATGTCTTTTACTGAAAGCCTCCAGGACATCATTCAGGTAGGTACCAGTTTGTGTGTGATTTTAAAGGTATTGGAGCTTTCTCCTCCATTCACTGTGTTCAGCCTCACGGGCAGTGGAGTTGAACCTCCTATCTATATGTATATACATCTCCCCACTGTATTTTCCACTGAATGCATCCGATGAAGTGAGCTATAGCTCATGAAAACTTAAGCTCAAATAAATTTGTTAGTCTCTAGGGTGCCACAAGTACTCCTTTTCTTTTTCCTATCACCTACTGTAATCTCTCTAGATAAATCAGGAGTTATACTGAAGAGAGCTAAGCATTTAAGCTCTCTGTGAGCAGAGGAATGGCCATTGAGGGGAAATGAGGAAGGATTTGAGAAAAGGGCTGATCCAGTGTGTGAGCCATTGGCCAAACAGAGATATCTACGACGTGCTCCAGGACAGCGCTAATTTTTAATACAAAGGAACAACCTGCAGAGATTACTATTCCCAGCGTGTAATATTCCACCTTGATTTTAGCAGAAGGCTGGAACATGTAATCACTGCTGGTCTTACCTGCGTACTAAAGCTGAGATGAGAGCCATTTTGCACAGATGCCACCCTCTGGCTCTCAGAAAGCACAGTTTACACATTGCTGTCCTAGTTGTTCTGACGACCCCACCTCCTGGGGCTTGTGGGGAAGAGTCAGTCTAGAGGAAATAGAGAATTAGAATCTTTCAGAATTTCTCAGGTTGTGCAATTCAAAAATAATTCAAAGTTCTGAAAGGTTTATGGGTTTTGCTCTGTTTAGGGGGAAGGAAAGAACTTTTCCCCTTTGGCTTTGAGAATTTTTGTTGTTGTTAAATGTCTTGCAAAATCCTAATTTCTCTGGGTTCTCCCCTCCCCCCTCAATCTCTGACCACCATCAGCAGCTGTGAGAGAAATTCTTCTTCCTATCACAGTGGTTTATTCTACAGGTCACATTCGGGATTGCAAAATACTTATTCTTGTGATGTTCTTATTTAAAGAAGTAGAGTTCCTGTTTCTTGAAATCACTGGGCAAGCCATTAAAAAATATCTGAAAGCTGCACTAAGGCCTCAGTTAAGTTTCTGTTTCTCCATATGTTTTTAGAGAAACTGATCTAAATGCAACACCCTTGCACAGCTCAGTGCACCGTGCAGTTTTTCTGTTGAAAGTTTGTTGTCACTGGGTTTAGTGCTTTACAAAGGATGCCCAGTTGAAAGCCCTGGCAACTAATGGCCAAATTTGCATGCGTGGGTGTTTCAAGTTAGGTTTCTAAATCCATGTCTTGGTACCAAAATACAAACAGCCTGATATTTCCGAAGTGTAGACTACCTGCACCTCCCATCAATGCCAGTGACTGGGAGTTTTGGTTGCTCTGTTCTATTGGATATCAAGCCATTTGTATAGGGGCGTCAACATGAATACACAAGCCTTACTTCAGGCTCCTGCGTGTGAAAATTTTGGCCTAAGTCCTGACACTGCCCTATTGCCACTGAGGCTGACCTCTTACCCAGATGGGCTGGCTGTGTGTGTGTGTGTGAGAGAGAGAGAGAGAGAAAAGTTCAGGATCTCTGTCCATTCTATCCTTGACCTCTTTGATACAAGCAACGAGGACTAGTTATTGCCAGCACAGGAGTGGTGGCTTTGGGGCTGTAGACGCCTGCCCACTAGGAAACAGACTGAGATGGCAAAACTTATTTCGCATAAGCCACCAATAGCTCATACCACTTTTCATTCAGTATCTCCCAGGATGTGATAGTTTTTTTACTGTCATCCTGTAATGAAAGGTACTGTGTTGCATTACACAGTCCCCAGAGCCGTCCCACAATGTTGCCAACTCTTGTGATTTTTATCCCCCGTCCTGTGGTACTCAGCCTCTTTTCTTAAAGCCCCAGCTGCGGGAGTCATATGATTACATGAGACTCTCAGCTTTCATTTAAAAACCAGTCAGTTCCTAGTCCTCAAAGTCATGGAGAAGAGCTTGAAAACATGACCCAAGTCTAACCTGAAGGGTCAAAATCCAGAAGCCAAATAAAAAAGCACCCAAAATGTAGTATTTAAAAAAATAAACCCTCATGATGTGGGTCTTGACTCATGTTTTTTTATGCTTGGGGTTGACAATACTGCATCTGTTCCCAGTTGTTTTTCTTATGGTAGTTAGTGAGTATTTAATTCTGAATAATTATGACTTTCTGCTCAAGCAAGGGAATCACTTTAGAGCAGATGAAGCTAGGTCCCTGCTGCTCTGGTTGCTGTCACCTGGCCACTGACAGACAGACAGAGCTGGGCTTTGTGTGGGGGAGTTTTTGAGGACCCGAGTGCTAATAGTGTTCTCGACATTGTTGACACTATATGTGCTGCATTCACAATGCCAGACATCCAAGACTGAAGGGGATATATGCAATGCTTTAATAGCAACTTATGCACTTATTCGTCTGCTGTGATGGCTGCAGGCTCTTTAAAGACAGAGGTTTCGCATTCAAGGAGTTGTATCAGATCCCCTGATTAAGAAGATATCATGGAATTAAATCTTGTCAATGTCCACTATATCAGTGCAGCCTTAAGGTCGAGAGTTTAACCACACAAGATGGAAAATTCAGAATGAAGAAGTCTACATCAATGGGAACTCCACTCCCTTGGTCCTATCCATTATGACATATGATGACATCATTCTACTCCGTTTCAGAGCCAGTCCTCATCACCATGGTATCTGAGCACCTTCCAGAACTGCTCAGAACAAAGGCTCAGTCCTGCTAGATGCTGAGTAGTGTGATTCCAATCTAGCAAAAAACTCAAGTACATGCTTGCTTTTGAGCAAATGTGTCGTAGTCCCATTGGAGTCAATGGGGTTCCTCACATGCTCGAAGTTAAGCACATCCTTAAGTGCTGTGGTGGATTGGGGATCCTGCATGGTGCTGAGCACTCTAGCCAAGTCTCCTGATTACCGTGTCACATGTGGGTTATTCTATCTCCTCTTCTCTCCAAAGAACATTGGGCTATGTCACAGAATAGCTAGCAAATATTATAACAGGAAGCTATTATGCAGGCTACATGAGTAGGCTACTAGAAGCCTGTGGTGCATTGACAGGCATGATGCCGAAGGATACACGCCACTAACCACCAGAGAGGTGCACCAACAGCACACTAATATGCATATGGACATTATAGCTGTGAGAGTTTGGCTGAAGAATTTATAAATAGTTGCATGAAGAAAACCTTAGCACTATTTGGGGGAGCAGCATTATCCCCATACGCTTCTTCGAGGGAAGTATAGCTCCTCATAGACAGACAAACGCCTTTTCCGTTCTGTTATTTTGTTAACCCTTTCTGAGGTCCCGTGGGCAGTTTGAATTCCTTCTGCTTCCTCTGATTTTCTCCATGCTCTGTTGCTTTGTCAGCAGCACTTCATGGCCCAACGCCACCTTTTGCTGCTCTGCACTAGACACTGTATTTGGACTATTGAGCAGCTGGTGGAGGTTAGGCTTTACCCAGGAAGATGGGTTAAATTTGACAGATTGCTGATGAAAAGGCAGCTTTGCAGGAGCAGTCATGTCACTCTCTTTCATGCAGACCCTCCTTTTCTTCCTCCACGGATGCCGTTCCCCGCTCCAATGGCACTGAGTTCCACCCCCCCGCCCCCCACTGACTTTTTCCTTGCCCATCATGGGTCTGGTCCAGTAGTTCGTGTGCTAGGCTGGGATTTGGGAGACTAGAGTTCAGATCTCTGCTCTGCTCCAGGCTTCTTCTGTGATGCTCTGTCCTTGGCCTTTGTGCTCCTGATTTGGAGTGTTGTGCAGATAAATATATTACAACTCTGAGGCACTTGTATATTGCACTAATGGGGGCTATATAAGTACCTTAGGAAGAGCATCAAAAAGACCCAACCAGTCAAACAAACTGTAGCTTTGAACAATCAGTATCCACAGACAAACTCCCATACTGCCTTGGCATGATTCCACGTAAAAATAGTTTAATAAAATGTTAATGTTGAAAAAACTGAATGCTCTTTTTTCTTAGGAAACAGCTTCTTTTTGTATCATCATAAAGCATTTGTCAAGGAACGCAATATGTAATGTAGTACAAATGGTATTGCAGTTGTCCACTCTTATACATGTTAACTTAGTCATTCACAGTCCTATGATTTGGCTTGCTATCAGTCACTCTCAGTGAGATCTCCAAAAACCGTACAAAAATACTGACTTGGTAATGTTAAAGGTATGAATGGTTAAAGATGAATGACCTGCAAGATGAGATGGTCTCATCTCTTAGCTAATCACAGAGGTTGGGCAGGAGATAGTCCAGAATGTACACCTTCATTGCCTTTGTCTGCATTAGTGAAAGCTGGGGGAGAGAAGGAGAGGGGAGGGGCGAAGCTGGGACTGGCTGGGTCAGGGGACTGGGACTGGGATGGAAAGCCTGAGTGGAGACTGGGACTGGCTTGGTGGTGATAATGGGACTGGGATGAGGAGCCAAGGGTGGGGGAAGAGACCAGGACCAGTGGAGGGACGCGGAGTTATTTAGGGCAGAAGGGGTCGAGCTTGGAGGGAAGGGGCAAAAGAGTCTGTGCGTGTTAGAGCACACTGCCCTCCAGCACCTGGCATGGAGCTCAACGTCCATGAGTCCTCAGTTCCCCTGCTGGTGCAAAGCATCACTGATGTAAAGCATCCCATCCTCCACTAGTGCTGGTCCACATAGGCAATTACAACCTACTACTGCTGTCAGTTACTCCATTAACTCAAGTGGCAGAGGTCTGCGCAGTGCACCTAAAGGTTCCAACTCTTCTGATGACCCATGTGGGTGTTAATATGATACCCCATGATGGAATATTTCAGCTTGCTTTCATAAAATCCGACTCAATTGCACACACAAAAACTACATTAAAAGAACATTATTAGGGTTGCAAAGTCAAACACTCATTAATTAAGAAATGCCAGAATTAAGGTTGCCTGTGCAACCTTAATTTAACCCGCTTGTCCATATGCATTATGATACAGTCTTTAATTACATGGTTACATAATATTTTCCCACAGGACCCCTGCCTCATTCAGTGCACGTTGTGGCTGGTGCTCTGGGGGTGAATCAGTGCTATATAGTAGGGGAGGCTGTTATCTGCCTCATTTGTTACGGACGTCGGAAGGTGCATAGTGAATGAGACAGGGCATTGCAGGAAGAGAAAGGACAGTCTTGTAGTACAACTGAATGCTGCCCTGAAGAATTAGATTCAATTCCTGCCTCTGCAATAGAGTTTCCGTGAGATACTAGACAAACCACTTAAACCACACTTTTCACAGGTGGCTCCTAATTCTGTGTTCTTCATTTTCTGGGTGCCCAACTTGAGACACCTGGGGTCTGATGTAAAAGTGCAGAGCACTCACAGCTGCAATTGAAGTCAACAAATAAAGTGATATGTTATGCTAAGTGCACTGAAAAATCATAACCTAGGTATCTCAAATTGGGCACCCAAAATTAGTAGATACTTTTGGTGTTAAGCTCTGTGTGCTTCAGTTCCCCATCTGTAAAATGGGGGTAATAATAGCCTTCCCCTCACAAGGGGTGTAGTGATAATTAATGTTTGTGAAGTGCTCATATAACATAATGATGAGCACCATAGACAAGCCCTTGAGGAAATTAATAATTCTGTCTTCAGAGCAGGATTTGAATCATGTGTAGTAAATAAGGCTGTGGTCAAGGAGAAAACAAACTGTTAAGTAGCTCCTCATTAAGTGAGCACTGTTCATCCTGTGCACTTAATGAGGCAGGGGTCTTGTGGAAAAAAATAGTATGTAATGATGTAATTAAAGATCATCATGCATGTGCACAAGGGGACTGAATTAAGGTTGCATGGGCAACTTTGATTTGGGCACTTCTTAACTTGATTGCTTGACTTTGCAACCTTAATAATGTGCCTTTAATGTAAGTTTTGTGTTTGTCATTAGGAAATAGGTCATTGTCAACACAATGAGAAATATTCTCTTTGCAGCTGTTCCACTGACAAATTATTTCTGTGGGTCTTTCGGAGCAATTGTTTCTTGAGGCAAACATTTCCTGTACAAAAATGGTGAAAGAGCTCCACTGGGATCCCAGAGTTGGTTTCCGGGGTGATGTGTTTGCCTACGACGGTGTTCAGTTACATCATTCATTTGCACCAGACCAGTGTAGATAGATGGGTGACACCGCTAACTGTTCTGTTGTGACACACCATGAGCACAGCCCTTGCTCTCTAGAAATGTCGCTCCTTACACAACAGCTATGCACACAGCGGAGGTGAGCGAGTATCTGACATGAATCTCACCATTTTGTGTGAGGAAGCATGAAGAGGATAGGAATATCAGTGCATGAAAACTCGGGTGAATCGTGACAAGTGCATGATTGTGCTTGAACATGTAGCAACCTGCAATCGACCGAAGACTACATCATCGTCATTGGGCATGATTCAGGGTGAACGTGAAGACAAATAATCCCATGCAGGAGTGTATCAGTGATTGTGCCTTAGGCTGACAGCAGAGATGCTCACACATTCTTCTCCATCGCACAGCAGCCCTGTTGTCTCAAACCTTCAATTTTGTTGCAAATACAGTGCTGCTTTGTTGAAACATCTACTGTTTTCATTTCAGATGTAGGCTTAGCTTGGGGATATCGAAAGTCACAAGCAGAGTACCACAAAGTTAAGGTCTGAGCTCAGAATCCCAGTTGGAGACCTTCAAGAAGTCCTCCAGCAAAATCAGGGAAGCCCAGGCTTGATGTTGTCAAGACTTTTAAAGTTTAAAAAGAAAAAAGCAGGAGAAAAATTTGGGGTGGAGGATGTTAAAACTACACCACCACCACCACCACCACTCCGCCGCTACCTCCCTCCATCTCTCCCCAGCTTTTATGCCTCCTTTATTAAGAAATAAAGGGAACAGACAAAAAAAATTTCCTTTGCAGGTAACACTTCTTCCAGGAGGTCTATAAACCTGGCCCCTCCAGTCCATCCCATCACCAAACTGCTAACAGAAATGAAATTAACAAGGCATTGGCTATATTCCTCCACTTGCTTTTGTGATATCCTATTTCCCATCCCTCCATCTTGTCCAGTTAAAATTATAACCTTGTTGGTATGTCTTCACTGAAAAGGAGGGTTTTATTGCAGCATGGGTAGGCATGCTGGCTTGAATCTAGCTAGCATGGGTAAAACAAACATAGTGTATACATGGTGGCACGGGCTTCACTATGGGCTAGCAACCTATGTATGCTCTCAGGGTAACCAACAGGCTTGTGGCTTGGGTTGCTAGCTCATGCTACCACGTCTTGACTACTATTGTTACCTGTGCTAACTGGATTAAAGCTAGAACAGGTATACCTACCTGTGCTACAGTCACACCTTCACTTTGCAGTGAAGACATGCCCCTTTAGAGCAGAGATCTTTCTTCTTGATTTTGCCTTATAAAGTACCTTGGCAATGCAGATATAAATAAGAGTAACTGCAGTTAGGAAGAGACAAAGTGTGAACCATGTGGTTTTGGTTTTTCCAAAATATAACCTCAGTCTCAAGCTTGGAAATATTTCTCAGCTTGTTTTTTCCCATACCACCCACTTTTTTTCCCGCAAGAAGAAAGCTGCTTATGTTGGATGCTGTGGGAACCTAATTCTTACTTTAGCACAAAGCAAAAACAAAAAATAGTGCTACTTAAACAAAATAAAGTTTTGGTTTCATGCACCAGATGGTACTTTCATTTCCTAGAAAGAGGAAGCTTAATGCAAAATCCCTTCGTTGCTGCCTGCTTGAAACTGGGCTGTTGTAATTATCAATGAATTTTCCTAATTTCATTTGCATAAGCCTTTTTCTTGCTAGTTTAAAGAGAGTGCAAAGTCAACTGTTGGGTCACTTGCTGCTCCGTCAGTTCAACTGTAGGAATGTTGGCTTTTAATTTATCCCGTATAGGTGTAGCAATAATGGTAACGGTCTTTATTTCCATGTGGTAGGGCCTTTCAGCCATTTGGATCTGCAAACTCTTGAGAAACTGGAGGACAAATTCTGTTGTTTATATCCAGGCATCCCCGTTGCTGTCCATGGAGTTGTACAGAAGTAACCGAGAGCAGCGTTTAGCCCTGTAGGACTCCATTTACCCATGGTGGCAATACAGCCCCCTCTTGGGAAGAAGGCAGCAAGTGTTTAATAATGCACAGCAGCGCTTCAACAGTTTGCGACAGGAGGTGAAGAAATACCTTCTCCGGTTGAGACTAGCTGGAGAACTTGGACAGAGTGCCTAAAAGCTGGTCTATACTGTGATTCCAATCCACTTTTAAACCTGCTTTAGCTGAACTGGTTTTAAATCCAGTTAGGAGTTTGGGAGGAAATTTCCCCAGTGTGGAGAGGCACTAGAAGAGAGATTTTTGGAGGTCTATATTCGCCCTCCCTGAAACACCTGTGTAAACCACACACACCTCAGCTCTGCAGCAAGGCTGTGTATGTCCCAGAAGCCCTTGCTGCCTCAGGTTCTACTGACCGGGAATTGCTGCACCTCAAATGTTCAGTTAGTCGCTGTTGGGCTAGCCAATGGCTACTAGTAACCTGGAGTAAATAGTAGATTCAGGACTCTGCTACTGAGGGCACAATCACCACTTGCGATCTGAGAGAATGCCTCAGAACATGTTAAAACCTCCCTTTTATTGGGAGGTGCTAAGCTTTAGTCCCTGCTTCAGCTGAGCTGCGGCCCGACTGCACCATTCTATCCCTGACACAGGCCTGCGGAGTTGGGACACTGCCGTGAGTTGGAAAGAAAGCAGGAGGCTTAGCAATTGTTCACACCCCATCGGTATCACATTCTCCTCTACATGTGCCACAGAAGAGCAAAATTCCAAAGGAAGGATATGCTTGTGGTTGGTGCACTGGGCTGGGACTCAGGAGCTCTGAGTTCAGTTCCCAACTCTACCACAGACTCCCTGTGTCATGCTGGGCAAGGCTCTTCAGCCTAGTTCCTGAAAGGTATTTGGGCACCTACCTCCCATTGAAATACCTTTGTGGAGATGTCTCTTAGTCTCTCTGTGCACCTCCTTGTCTGTAAAAATTGGAATAATGTTTTTCTTTCTCCCACCCTCTGTCTGTTTGGCTTGTAAGCTCTTCAGGGCCAAAACTGTTTCTTACTCTATGATTATACAGTGCCTTGCACAGTGGGGTCCTGATCTTGGATGGGTCCTCAAAATGCTACCGTATTACAATTCATAATAACAAAGCAGGAAAAGAACTGTTCATTAAAGGGCAAAACACCCCTCATGAACTGGCCCGAGACCAACAAATACAGGCGGTAACAACTTTGCTGCTGACCTGGGTTGCTGTTTGAGTGTTTTAAATACATATCTTTCATTGCCAAAACCTTAAGAATATCAGGTCATCAGAAGGGAGCAGCTCTCAAAGCCCACGCCTCAGCCTCTTGGGCTAAAAGATTAAGCCCTTTAGTTGGAAGCAGGAACAAGCTGATAGGCTCTTATGTAGTCCAGCCACTAGAGGGGGACAAAGATACTCTTGGTCTGCATGTGACACGTTTTATGTCTAGCCTAGGATATATAGGTGGTCTCAGTTTTCATGCTCTTCTGTGTTTTCCCTGTTAGGTTATGGAGGATCTTTTCAAGACCGCGACAAGCATTGTGCTCTCCAAATGTCCTCAAGATGTTGAGCTTTTTCATAAATATGTATCTCCTGCCCAAAAGGTAATAAACATGAGAGAAAAACTGCAATCCCCCTATATCTTGCAAACACTCTTGGTAGTGCGTAGGCCTGAATTTAGCAGAGTTCTCTTGTGTTACCCATTAAGAGTAGGTTTACATTTTTTTTTGTCTTTTGTTTTAACCAAGGGCAGGTTAGAACAGATGCTGAAGAACAAATTCATAACGTGAGTACTATTTTTGATTGCTGACATACGATATGCTGCTGTTGGTCGAGCTCCTCGATAGTTATTTTCCCCCATCCTCTTGTCATACCACTGACTATTAATTCTGCACAATGTCTTTTAAAGGCACTAATCACAATTCCCTACCTGTATTTAAGCTGTTCTGTTTGCCCCAGGAATGGTTACTGTCTCCCTGACCATTTTGCTTGTGTGTTGCATCTGTTTCTCCTCCCCTTTGTTTTTGTCTTCCCAGACGCTTTGGCACAGGGACTGTCTTCCTGATGGGGTGTATGGCTGTGCAGTGCTTACCCCCACTCTGGGTGCTACTGCAAAATACATAGTAGTTCATAGGCTGTAGCCATGCCCCTTTAGGCGGTGAGATGCTCCTCTTTCCTCGAAATCCCTGCTGTCCTCTATTAGCTCTATAGCCCTTGACTGCTTTTAGTTAAGAGAGGACTTCAGTCCCCATTCTGGGCCTCCAAGCATCTCCTTTTTGCTTCACTCTCATCTGAGCCCTTGACTTCTGGTGGCTGTCCATTCATTCTGCCAAGCCATACCAGGCCACCTGACCACAACTCTCCCGGGTGTTGCACTTAAGCTAGCCTGCCACATCCATGCTTGATGACAATGGATTTGTGATCTATAACTTTCAATGTTGTTATTTTTCATCTGCACAAGCACCACAAAACATTGCTGAGAAGTGCAATGTGTGTGTATGTCTCTGTGTGTGTGTGTGTATGTGTGTCTGAGAACATGAGTCACATTTGAGCTATGGGCCACTTCAAAAGGCTTCAGGTAGCAAAAGTAGGTGAGATTCCAGCCAAGTTATTATGGAATCACATAACCCAAGCACATGGAACAGCGTATTCCTCACTAACTGTTTGTTTCAGAAAGCTTTAATGTGTTATTGAATCCTTGTGGATCTTCCTTAGGGAGCTTGGTCTAGAACTGGATTTAGCCAGTGATACACAGAGATTTGATTATTGTTACCAGGCTAATTTAGTTTTCCCAGTGATGGCTTGTTTATGTTGTTACAGCCTAGTATGTGGAAAATCCATCACGCAGCCTGCTTGGTTTGGTTTTGATTTCCAGTCACATTTTGCAGGTTGCAAAGGAGACACTGGGACAGATTCTCCACTCTGTTATGCCAATTTTCTCTGCCAGTTGCTCTATTGATTTACAGCGGTGGAGAATCTGGTGCCAGAATTGCCTTTTTGAGGACATGGACATGTTGATGAAAATAAGTCTGGCATTTTACATTGTGACAATCGTAACCCTTCTATTAATGTAAGCGCTTTATGGCATGATCTGTCCTCTTGTAGAGTACTATGTGGAGCACATGTTTGATGCTATGCTGTTGGGAGTTCCTTTCATCCTGAAGAGCCCCTTATACAAACTAGATTCTAACGGAATCACTTCACTCCTAGATGATATGCAGCCACCTCTAGGGTGGAACATGAAGTCTGTTTAACAGTGTGTTGTAACAATATAAAAGAAGCATCATATGAAATGAAGGCAAGCAGAACATAATCCTCCAAACTGGAATTTGCCTGGGCCACTGGGACTAAGCCCCAACCCAACACCACCACCTCTTGAGAAGAGTATCATGTAATCTTTGATCTCTCCAGATGCTCATTGTTAAGGCATCGTGTGGTAAAGCAATAAGCAGCACCAAGCTGGGACCTAGGTTCAATGACTGACTCAGTGAGAAACCTGCCATCTACTAAGTTACCAGGAGCTCTTCCTTTGATATTCTAGGGTTCCTTTAGGAAAGAGGTTTCCATCCAAGGTACATAAGAGTTGACCTTGCTTAGCTTGAGAAATCTGAGATCACAACCTAAGGTGGCATGGCTGCACTGTCCCTTTCGTTTTCCAGTGCAATACTTAGGAAGGGACCCTCTTGGTACTCACATTTGCAATGTCAAATGCTTAGTTTTTTTCTGTTACAGAATTTCCTATACTGAAGCAGTGGAAATTTTAAAGCGAGCTCCTCAGACGTTCACTTTCCAACCAAAGGTCAGTGGGTACCCTGGCTGTGAGAGAGCCAATGCCTGGTTCCTGCTTCTGTGGTGTGGGTCTGCACAATTCTCTCCATTTCTAAATCCTGGGGAAGCCTCACTTCTCTTTCTTATGTTGCAACAGAGTTGTTAGTTCACTCAGTACATGTTAGTCCTTTTGTGTTATTGCACGGTTGCAAACCAGCCATAATCCAGTGTAACCACAGTAGCTTAGAAGATGAAGCATGGAATAATTTAGGAAACAAGTTGTTACAAGAGTGAAGTGTGCATAGTGAAGCTAAGCAATGGCTTAAGAGAAGTGGCACAATACCATTAGATTGTAAGCCCTTTGCAGAAGGTGCTGTCCCTGCCTGTGTGCATGGACAGTGCCTAGTGCACTGTGTATACTTCAGGAACACCTAATAGGCGAGAGGAATTTCGGTCGTACCAAGGGTTTAACTAGGAATAATGAAGTAAAACTGAGTCAAAACGCTGTATTGCGGAGATAGGTAAAGGGAGTCCTTTGTTCTTCTAAAAGACTACTGTAGCCAAGGAGAAAGCCGTTTACAAATTACAGTGTTCCTAAAACTCCTACTTCATCCCTGCTTCTAACAGATGCCACAGTAGGCAAAGTCCTCACTTGAGCACCTACTTCTAATCTCGCATACATAGTCATTAGTCTTAACAGTCCTCAGTCCACTGCTTTGAGGATAAGTCTGGCTGGGCCCACCTTCAGCGCAGATAGCCTAAGATCAACAGATAAACTCTGAGCCCATTTTTGTACGAATAAATTAATAAAGAGTTGTAAATCCTCTATCCGGATACAGCTGTCAGTTACACTAGCAGTTCCCCTGCAACAAATCATTCATGGCTCACACTCCTGCCACAATTGATGCGGATACACCTGATGGTCTCTTCCAGGGGGCATTGGTTTTCCTAAGCGAGAGGCTGCAGAGATGGTGTGGCATGCACCAGAGCGCATCTGGGAAGGGAGGGAAGAGACAGGGAACAGGATGGATACAAGCAGTGGTTAGATAAATTCACTTTAGCTGGTTGCTAAAAATTGACCTGGTTTGTTGGGGGGCAGGTGGAACCTTTGTCCAGATAGTCTGTTCACTTAGACAACATAACAATCTGCTCTACTTCAAGCACAAGTTATTGGGAGAGATGCAGGGATTCCTGGGTGGGAGTCTCTGGCCCATGTTATGCAGGAGGTCAGACAGACCCTGTGAGAGGCGGAGCCCTTCCTAGTATCCAGCCTTTGAAAACGGTGCATCTCCACTGTATGGGGTCTTACTGTGTCTTCTAAAGTGTATGCACTGCACTACGCAGGGTCCAACTTCCCTTGCTCTCCATGTTGTTGTCTTTACAGTGGGGCAGCGATCTCCAAACTGAACATGAGAAATACCTGGTGAAGCACTGCGGCGAGGTTCCTGTGTTTGTAGTTAATTACCCATATGATCTCAAACCTTTCTACATGCGGGACAATGAAGATGGACCTCAACGCACAGTAAGTCCGTGTGTGTGCATCTCCATACTTTTTGGTCACACGCCCTGTCCTCCCTCATCCTACCTAGCAATAGATTATCATTGTTCTGGTCTCCAGTCAGGAAGCAGGAGATAAGATACATCAATCAATTGCAACAGTTAAGCCCCAGTCCAGATCCTTTCCTTCCTTTAGAGAGAGATCCAAAACAGGAGAGAATCCAGTCAGTCAAGAGAAGAATGGACAGCCTAGGTCTTTGGAAGGCAGCCAGTTAGGTTTGCTGTAGCCAGTTTCTTTTTAAGGGAAGTTCAAACATAAAATAAGGTAGCAAGTTTTTTTAAGAGGAGTCTCTTTAATGACAACCAATGCACATAATATTCATTGGCATTGTTCTCCTGCCTTCCCAGCCCAGTCTGTGAGTATTTTATCCTCCTACCAGCAGATGGGGACAGGAAGTAAACTCCTTCTGGGTTCTGCTTTGAGCATGGGGTCCCTGTGCTGTGTGACTCCAGGCACTCCGTCTGGAGGAATTCCTCTGTGCCTTGGACAGTCGAGGCATAATTGCGTTTGCCTGCCTCCCCACAGCTTGTTCTTGGGTTCTTCATACCCCTTGGGGCTTGGCCACACACAGACTTACCCCAAAATAAATGAATCTGTTTCATTTCACACTGTTTGTTATTTCGGTGTGGACACTTTTATTTCAGAACGAAAGGGGCCTACTTCGATTTGATTTTGGTTATCAGTCTGGTATTTTTTACCCTCACTGGCAGATGGCTGCTGCATTTAGTGACCCTGCCCCTCTGCAACATGCATTCTGCAAGTCCGAGGTAACGAAATGAAACATTTGCTGCTGCTATAAACAATCATGGCTGGAGAAGCTCTTCTGGAGTGTGTATATATTTACATAAGTGGTATCCTAGACTCAACAGAGGAAGCTTGAGTCGCAGTTGTAGTGACTGGATGGGAGAGCCCTCCCCACCTGACAAGAGGGAGCAGCATTTGGGAAAGGGTCTGTGAGGACCTCTGTAGAAGCCCATGTTTCCTCAGTGTGCTTCTTTGTCCCCCTCTAGAAACAAGAGTTCATGAGTCTGCTACAGTCTTTGACTCACACAGCTGGGTTTTTTAGCTCAGGCAGTAGAGGCTCCTGCTTTTCTATCCAGAGGTTCTGGGTTCAATCCCTGCATCCGATGACCAGCCAGAATATGTCTTCTGTGGAAGGTGTAACTTCCAGCTACAGGAGACATACCCTGTCTGGCTTTGATCAAGTTAGCATGCATAGAAGTGTAGCCACCTCTACCACATGGTTTCAGACAGGATTGTACTCAGGGTTGCTAGCTGCTTGCACTGCCATAGCTACCCTTTTATTTTTTAGCACGCTAGCTTGATTAGAATTAGTGCGGCTATGTGGTCTTGATCTGGAAATTACACCATAGCTCCAGGGTAGACGTACCCTAGAATTCCTGATCTGTTGTACACCATATAAGCTATGCCATCTGTTATCTTGTGCTAGTCACTACGATGTACAGCTGCCAATAGATTAGATCACTGTCTAGGTACTTGCACAGGGTCCATCTCAATAGTATCGGAGCCCCTCACAAACAGGAATGAATTTCTCCTCCTAGCAGCCCTAGGATTACTGTTGGACTGCACAGGTAAATGGCATGGCTCAGTTTATGGTTCTTTTTCCCCCAAGGTGGCAGCCGTTGATCTTCTGGTACCAGGAATAGGGGAGTTATGTGGCGGCAGCCTGAGAGAGGAGCGACCACATTTTCTTCAATCACGCTTAGCGAGGTATGGCGAAAACTTATGGCTGATTACCAGCAGTAGGGGAAGAACAGTCTGGCGAGGGAGAGTGTCAGAGGCCACTGGAGTTTGGTGGGAGAAGGAGTAGATGTGCAGACAGTAAATGTTCCATTATGTTTATTGGCTTTGAAGTATCTGTTAATCAGCTGTTTATCTATTAAGCAAAATATAGCTGTATCCCCAAATGATGACTTGCTCCTGGGGTAAACATGCAAAGTGCCTCTTTGTATCATCTCACCACAGAAGAATGTTGCATGCTACTCCGAAAGAACCTCTCCTATCACACGGGCTCCAAGGAAGCGATCTGTAACCATTAGGGCCGTCGAGTGATTAATCGCACTGTTAAACAGGAATAGAATACCATTTATTTAAATATTTTTGGATGTTTTCTACCTTTTAAAATATATTGATTTCAGTTACAACACAGAATACAAAGTGTAGTGCTCACCTAATATTTATTTTTGATGACAAGTATTTGCACTCTTAAAAAAAACCCCAAAAGAAATAGTATTTTTCAATTCCCCCCCAATACAAGTACTGTAGTGCAATCTCTTTACCATGAAAGTTGAACTTACAAATTTAGAATTGTGTACAAAAAAATCTGCATTCAAAAATAAAGCAATGTAAAATTTTAGAGCCTGCAAGTCCATTCAGTACTATTTCTTGTTCAGCCAATCGCTCAGACCAACAGGCTTATTTACATTTGCAGGGGAGAATGCTGCCCGCTTCTTGTTTACAATGTCACCTGAAAGTGAGAACAGGCATTCTCATGGCACTGTTGCAGCCGGCATCGCAAGATATTTACATGCCAGATGCGCTAAAGGTTCATATGTCCCTTCATGCTTCAACCACGATTCCAGGGGACATGCGTCCTTGCTGATGACGGGTTCTATTTGATAACAATCCAAAGCAGTGTGGACTGATGCATGTTCCTTTTCATTATCTGAGTCAGCTGCCACTAGCAGAAGATTGATTTTCTTTTTTGGTGGTTCGGGTTCTGTAGTTTCCGCATCGGAGTGTTGCTCTTTTAAGACTTCTGAAAGCATCCCTTTCAGATTTTGGAAGGCACTTCTGTTCTTAAACCTTGGGTCGAGTGCTGTAGCTATCTTTAGAAATCTCACGTTAGTACCTTCTTTGCATTTTGTGAAATCTGCAGTGAAAGTGTTCTTAAAATGAACCACGTGTGCTGGGTCATAATCCAAGACTGCTATAACATGAACTATATGGCAAGAATGTGGATAAAACAGAGCAGGGGACATACACTTCTCCCCCAAGGAGTTCAGTCACAAATTTAATTAATGCATAATTTTTTTAACAAGTGGCATCAGTATGGAAGCATGTCCTCTGGAATGGTGGCTGAAGCATGAAGGGGAATACGAATGTTTAGCATATCTGGCACGTAAATACCTTGCAAAGCTAGCTACAAAAGTGCCATGCAAATGCCTGTTCTCACTTTCTGGTGACATTGTAAATAAGAAGCGTGCAGCATTATCTCCTGTAAGTGTAAACAAACTTGTTTGTCTTAGCGACTGGCTAAACAAGAAGTAGGACTGAGTGGACTTGTAGGCTCTGTATTTTTACGCTGTTCTGTTTTTGAGTGCAGTGATATAACAAAAAAAAAAATCTACATTTGTAAGTTGCACTTTCACAACGAAGAAATTGCACTGCAGTACTTGTCTGAGGTGAATTGAAAAATACTATATCTTTTGTTTACAAATATTGCACTGTAAAAATGATAAACAAAAATAATATACATTTTGATTTCAGTTACAATACAGTATGTGTGAAAATGTAGAAAAACATCCAAAATATTTAATAAATTTCAATTGGTATTCCATTGTTTAACAGTGCAATTAAAATTGCGATTAATCATTATTAATTTTTTTAGTCGCAATTAATTTTTTTGAGTTAATCTCATGAGTTAACTACGAGTAATCGACAGCTCTAGTAATTGTGTCTGGCACATGGACTCCCTCCTTAGGCCTTGTCCCCACTCACCAACATGGTAATTCGCCACCAGTGGTAGCAAAGGTGGAAGCTGTAGTGTAGATGGGGCGTGGGTCTCTTTGACTACGGCCTGATCTACACTGCAGGGGGGGATCGATCTAAGATACGCAACTTCAGCTACGAGAATAGCGTAACTGAAGTCGATGTATCTTAGATCGACTTAAAATCACTTACTTCGTGTCCTCGCGGCGCGGGATCGACGGCCGCCGCTCCCCCGTCGACTCCGCTTCCGCCTCTCGCTCTGGTGGAGTTCCAGAGTCGACAGCAGAGCGATCAGGGATCGATTTATCATGTCTACACTAGACGCGATAAATCAATCCCCAATAGATTGATCACTACCTGCCGATCCGGCGGGTAGTGTAGACGTGGCCACAGTGTTGTCTAACCCTAAGGAATCATGCTGCAGTGAATTACAGCTATGAGCTTTGCTAATGTAGATGCAACCTCAGTGCTGTCATTTCAGAAAGTGTTGTTCTGTGCTAAGAGATGTTGATAAGTTAATTAGGAAGTGGAACCCATGTTAGTTTGTCACAGATCTCTGCTCTTTGACTCCACCCCACCCCACCCCACTCCCCTGGTCTGTAGCAGTCTGTGTGATTTCAAGGTGCTTTGAAGTCATCCGGAAGCAGCACTGTCTCCAATTATCAAAGCTGGCATTGAGGGTGCAGTCCTGTGATTCTTTAGGGGGGAAATCCTCTTCACAGGGTTAAACTCAGATCCAATCTCCATTTTCAATGGATCCTTCACAGAGTTCAGCCCTGCCCCTTTGGGCCAGTCACATACAGAAGGCATTTTTGGAGGATTTTGGAAATCCCAGTGTAACATTAGTTACATTTGGCAAATGCATTTAGTACTTAGAGCAGTCACCTATTCAGCTGAAACATGTCTAGTTAATGAAGTACAGTGAAGCCTACTTCAGCATAATGAACCAAAGAAGGGCACTGACATTCTGTAGAGGTACAGGATCTGGGTGGGGAGAGATTAAAACCAGAACTGTGTAATTTGGAATGCTGAGGAGTAAGAGCCCATACAACAGAGGTGTATAAATCAATGAAATGTATAACTTCAATGGGCTTAAAGTCCAGCAACTATGTGAAAACGGCATCATCTTACTCTGGGATCTCTTCCTTTTGAGTATTCAGGGTCAGATCTGCTGACTTGATCTGCTGAGTAAAGGAATTTTCATTGGTCTTAACTCATGTTTAGCCCTGAAGAGCTATTGTAACTAAGAGAGAGTTGGATTTTATAATACAACTGTATAAAGAAACTATGGCCCCGATCCTGCAAAGACTTGCACGCATGCTTAACTTCATTCACTTGAGTATCCCAGTTGAAGTCAATAGGACAATTCATATGTGTAAAGTTAAGCATGTGCACAGGTCTTTGCAGGATTGGGACCTTACTGCGTTAGAATTGGTACAATACGTTTAGGAAGAGCATTGTTCAACACCACCAAAAAAGAACCATTTTGTATTTCAGAAACCTCTGCTATTGATTATGCTTCTTTCCTCTCTTCCCCTTTTTGTATTAATTAGTAGGGCTGTCAATTAATCCCAGTTAATTCTCGCGATTAACTCAAAAAAATGAATCGCGATTAAAAAAAGTTATCACAATTAATCACACTTATAACAATAGAATACTAATTGAAATTTATTAAATATTTTTGGATGTGTTTTTCTACCTTTTCAATATTGATTTCAGTTACAACACAGAATACAAAGTGCACAGTGCTCACTTTATATTATTTTTTATTACAAATATTTGCACTGTAAAAATGATAAACAAAAAATAGTATTTTTCAGTTCAGCTCATACAAGTTCAGAAATGCAATCTCTTTATCTTGAAAGTGTAACTTAGACATACAGATTTTTTTTTGGTTGCATAACTGCACTCAAAAACAAAACAGTGTAAAACTTCAGAGCCTACAAGTCCACTCAGTCCTACTTCTTATTCTGCTAATCGCTAAGACAAACAAGTTTGTTTACATTGATGGGAGATACTGCTGCCTGCTTCTTATTTACAATGTCACCTAAAAGTGAAAACTGGCGTTCGCATGGCACTGTTGTAGCCCGCATTGCAAGGTATTTAAATGCCAGATATGCTAAACATTCGTATGCCTCTTCCATGCTTTGGCCACCATTCCAGAGGACATGCTTCCATGCTGATGATGCTCGTTTAAAAAAAAAAAAATTGTCAATTAAATTTGTGACTGTACTCCTTGTGGGGAGAATTGTATGTCTCCTGCTCTGTTTTACCTGCATTCTGCCATATATTTCATGTCATAGCAGTCTCAGATGATGACCCAGCACATGTTGTTTTAAGAACACTTTGACAGCAGGTTTGACAAAACGCAAAGAAAGTACCGATGTGAGATTTCTAAAAATAGCTACAGCACTCGACTCAAGATTTAAGAATCTGAAGTGCCATCCAAAATCTGAGAGAGGCAAGATGTGGAGCATGCTTTTAGTAGTCTAAAAAGAGCAAAACATTGATGCAGAAACTACAGAACCCAAACCACCAAAAAAGAAAAACTGGTGGCATCTGATTCAGATGATGAAAATGAACATGTGTCAGTCCGCACTGCATTGGATCATTATCAAACAGAACCTGTCATCAGCATGGAAGCATGTTCTCTGGAATGGTGGTTGAAACATGAAGGGACATATGAATCTTTAGCACACCTGGTAACTAAATATCTTGCAACACCAGCTACAACAGAAGAAAAAGCAGAAAGCATACAAGGAGTGGAAGAAGGGAGGGATCAGCAAGGAAAGCTACCTTATTGAGGTCAGAACATGTAGGGATAAAGTGAGACAAGCTAAAAGTCAAGTAGAGTTGGACCTTGCAAAGGGAATTAAAACCAATAGTAAAAGGTTCTAAAGCCATATAAATAAGAAGAAAACAAAGAAAGAAGAAGTGGGACCGCTAAACACTGAGGATGGAGTGGAGGTCAAGGATAATCTAGGCATGGCCCAATATGTAAACAAATACTTTGCTTAAGTCTTTAATAAGACTAAAGAGGATCTTAGGGATAATGGTGGCATGATAAATGGGAATGAGGATATGGAGGTAGACATTACCATATTTGAGGTAGAAACGAAACTCAAACAGCTTAATGGGACTAAATCGGGGGGCCCAGATAATCTTCATCCAAGAATATTAAAGGAATTGGCACATGAAATTACAAGCCCATTAGCAAGAATTTTTAATGAATTTGTAAACTCAGGGGTTGTACCGTATGATTGGAGAATTGCTAACATAGTTCCTATTTTTAAGAAAGGGAAAAAAAGTGATCCGGGTAATTATAGGCCTGTTAGTTTGACATCTGTAGTATGCAAGGTCTTGGAAAAAATTTTGAAGGAGAAAGTAGTTAAGGACATTGAAGTCAATGGTAAATGGGACAAAATACAACATGGTTTTACAAAAGGTAGATCGTGCCAAACCAACCTGATCTCCTTCTTTGAGAAAGTAACAGATTTTTTAGACAAAGGAAACACAGTGGATCGAATTTACCTAGATTTCAGTAAGGCATTTGATACCGTGCCACATGGGGACTTATTAGTTAAATTAGATAAGATGGGGGTTAATAGGAAAATTGAAAGGTGGATAAGGAATTGGTTAAAGGAGAGACTACAATGAGTCCTACTGAAAGGTGAACTGTCAGGCTGGAGGGAGGTTACCAGTGGAGTTCCTTAAGGATCGGTTTTGGGATCAATCTTATTTAATCTTTTTATTACTGACCTCGGCACAAAAAGTGGGAGTGTGCTAATACAGTTTGCGGATGATACAAAGCTGGGAGGTATTGCCAATTTAGAGAAGGACAGGGATATCCTACAGGAGGATTTGGATGACCTTGTAAACTGGAGTAATAGTAATAGGCTGAAATTTAATAGTGAGAAGTGTAAGGTCATGCATTTAGGAATTAATAACAAGAATTTTAGTTATAAGCTAGGGACACATCAATTAGAAGTAACGGAGGAGGAGAAGGACCTTGGAGTATTGGTTGATCATAGGATGACTGTGAGCTGCCAATGTGATATGGCCGTGAAAAAAGCTAATGTGGTCTAGGGATGCATCAGGAGAGGTGTTTCCAGTAGGGATAAGGAGGTTCTAGTACCGTTATACAAGGCACTGGTGAGACCTCACCTGGAATACCATGTGCAGTTCTGGTCTCCCATGTTCAAGAAGGATGAATTCAAACTGGAACAGGTACAGAGAAGGGCTACTAGGATGATCCGAGGAATGGAAAACTTGTCTTATGAAAGGAGACTCAAGGAGCTTGGCTTGTTTAGCCTAACTAAAAGAAGGTTGAAGGGAGATATGATTGCTCTCTATAAATATATCAGAAGGATAAATACAGGAGAGGGAGAGGAATTATTTAAGCTCAGTACCAATGTGGACACAAGAACAAATGGATATAAATTGGCCACCAGGAAATTTAGAGTAAAAATTAGACGACGGTTTCTAACCATCAGAGGAGTGAAGTTTTGGAATAGCCTTCCAAGGGAAGCAGTGGGGGCAAAAGATCTATCTGGCTTTAAGATTAAACTCGATAAGTTTATGGAGGAGATGGTATGATGGGATAACATGGTTTTGGTAATTAAATATTCATGGTAAATAGGCCAAATGCCTGTGCTGGGATATTAGATGGGGTGGGATCTGAGTTACCAAGGAAAGAATTTTCTGTAGTATCTGGCTGATGAATCTTGCCCATATGCTCAGGGTTTAGCTGATCGCCATATTGGGGTCGGGAAGGAATTTTCCTCCAGGGCAGATTGGAAGAGGCCGTGGAGGTTTTTCACCTTCCTCTGTAGCATGGGGCACGGGTCACTTGCTGGAGGATTCTCTGCTCCTTGAAGTCTTTAAACTATGATTTGAGGACTTCAATAGCACAGATATAGGTGTAAGGTTTTTTGCAGGAGTAGTGGGTGAAATTCTGTGGCCTGTGTTGTGCAGGAGGTCAGACTAGATGATCATAATGGTCCCTTCTGACCTAAATATCTATGAATCTATGAACAGGGCCATGCGAATGCCTGTTCTCACTTTCAGGTGACATTGTAAACAAGAAGCAGGCAGCATTAACTCCTATAAATTGTAAGCAACCTTGTTTGTCTTAGTGATTGGCTGAACAAGAAGTAGGACTGAGTGGCCTTGCAGACTCTGAAGTTTTACGTTGTTTTATTTTTGAATGCAGGTGGTTTTATTTTTTTACATAATTCTACATTTGTAAGTTCAACTTTCATGATAAAGAGATTGCACTACAGTACTTGTATGAGGTGAATTGCAAAATACAATTGTTTTTTACAGTGCAAATATTTGTAATAAATAAACTGAGCACTGTACACTTTGTATTCTGTGCTGTAGTTGAAATTAATGTGTTTGAAAATGTAGTAAACATCCAAAAATATTTAAAGTAAATGGTATTCTATTGTTATTTAACAGCGTGATTAATCACAATTAATTTTTTTAATCACTTGACAGCCCTATTAATTAGTAATATCTTCCCTTTTCTTTCTCTGTGTATTTCCATGCACCAAACTGTTAACAGATCACACAGCTGATACGGATCTGCTCTGCTGATTTATTGACAAGAGTTTGTTTATTCCACAGATTAGGACTTGCAGATGCCTACCAATGGTAAGTCTATAGCTTGGTCTACAAACAGTATCTGTTAAAGTTTATCCTCCGACTTCTTTAGTTGCAGCCAGAGTTGACTCTTTCATACCTTTCATTATTGCAGAAAATGGATTAACTTGCTGCTCATCAACAATTTTTAATATGAAATCCTTAAACTGTATGCAAAAAACCCAGAACGTTACTGAAAAATCCCAGGTGCTGTTGTATGAGATAAATAGAGCACAAAAACCACAAGCTATTTTTGATCTTTAGTGGCCACATGAAAAACTCCACTTGCAATTGGCAGGGTAGTAGTTGAAGTAATTACAGTTGTCCTCCTAAAGAAATAGAATGGAACAGTCCTTGAATTTAAGAAGGGAAAAATGGGCTCCCTGAGTTTTCTCCTATTAAAGTGACTGTCCAGACTGTGTCCCTTTTGAAAAATTATGAATTATTTGTATTATCATAATAATGCTTAGGATGTATCTGTTAATTATCTGGTAGAGGAGTAATGTTGCAAAGTGTTTCAAACGTCAGAGAGTTTATCAAAAAGTACTTGGGTAGCTAGAATAGCCGTTAGGGAGAAGAATGCTTTTTAAACTGATAACTTGGATTAAGAAGCTGTAATGAATGCAGGATTCCCTCCTGCATCCTGAAATTGCTTGGGAATAGCACAGCACAAGGTACCACAAGCCTCTACATCAGCAATGTGTAGGCAGGGCAAATGAAACTTCTTCCCATCTTTCATGGATTTGTAGGCCAGAAGGACCATGATGATGAGCTAGTCTGACTTACTGCTTAGCACAAGACATAGAATTTCACCCAGTAATTTTGGTGTCAAGTCCGTAAATTCTTTTGGAACTATGGCATATTGTGGAGGAATTCACTCACCGCAGGAGCACCTCCTAGTGGTCAGGCATGGCACAGTGGCTCTCTGCTCACTGAGTGCTGCCCCCTGATTGTCGCCCCAATGCTGCAGTAGTCTCTTTGCCCATCATTCCACCCTTCAGCCAGGTCATGATTTAGTCCGCCCCTTCTGGGGTAATAATGTCCCAGCTCAAAGGGACAAAAACTCTTCTATGCTTCCCCAAATCAGTAGTCAGTACACCCCCGGCTCTGCAGAGTTTCTCCTCACTCTGTCACAGAGAGCTGCTTCCCAGGGCTTTCTCTGGAGGCTCAGCTCCTCCCAAACCACTGACACTCATTCTGCCCTGGAGCCTGTCTTCTCCCAGGCCTGCTTTAGAAAGTCTCTTTCTCCCCAGCTGCCCTCTCCCTCCAGGAACAGTCTCAGGGTACCAGCTCCTTCCTGCAGGTCCTTCTATTGATCCTTTCCCTTAGTCTGGGCCTTCTTCCATTGCCAGCTTTCCTAGCCGTGCCCCTCTTTCAGGGCTTAACCCCTCTTTCAAATTTCTTACCCAGACCTGCCCTTCTCTTAGGGCCTGCTGCCCAGGGGTGTTCCCTTCCCGTGCAATCCAGCTTTCCTTCCCAGCCTTCCCCACATCTAGCTAGGATCCCAGGGCTTACCCCTCACTGCCTCTCTATTCCCAGAGAGGTATGGCAGACTCTTTTTTCCTCTCTTTCTCTCCATGGTGAAGCAGACTTAACTGAATAGTCTATAGCCACCAACTATAATTGCTAAATACTCAGCCGCTGATATCCTTTCACTCTGCTCTGCGTCCATCAGGTGCCTTTCTGCTATGACCCCATTTCCCTGATATTTTTCTGAGTAACATGATATAACTTTTGTTACCTTAAGTTGTTTAAATTCCTCAAAAAGCTTTGCCCTTTTTTTAATCAAAGCTCTGACATACCCATAAAAGGTGATCAGTTTGTTTCTTTTACCCTACAGAATGCACATACTCCATCTTTGTTTGTTTGTTTTTTCAAGAGTTTTGTTTAAATCACAGTGTCCAGTCAGTACTCTAAACAAAATCACTTGATTTTTCCTATTCAAGCCCTGAAATATGTTGTTGTTCTCAACTCCACGGCACGGTTCAAAATATCTTCTACCTCTTCTTTCGTTGATCCAAAGATTTTGCCATCCTTCTTTGAAATTTTTCTGTACTACACTTTAGAATTCCCATTTATTCACGGTGTTTCTATGTCAATCCTTCCATTTCTTACAGTGCTTTTGGCTGCTTTGTCCCACCTTTTCAGTCCCTCTTTACCCCAATATGCACTGGGATTCAGGCTAAGCTACATGTTTCCCCATCGGTATTAACTCTGTCACTGGAAATATAATTTGATTGATTAAATCACTTCTGCGTTCGGAGAGGCCCTTTCTTATTGCCATAAGGCCTGAAACTGAGTCTGAAAAAATGACCGCCGCTGCTGGGCGTCAGCCCCTTTCTGCTAGAGACGTTCTCTCTTTATACTAACCATCTTTCTCCTGCCCAGTTAAGGCTGGCTTCTCATCCAGGTGCAGCCTGGTACTGTTAATTGGCCTCTCGGGCCCATATTAGCCCCTTCAGCGTCCGTGTGAGATGCATCTTTTGGAGACATCCAGTCATGACTTAAAGATTGCGAGTGAGGGAGAATCCTCCACATCCGTAGGTAGGAATGCAGGCCGAGAGCAGCTCATCTGCACTGCACATTTTGTCAGAAAGCTGCCACGGGCTCGGGACATGGAGGGTGCTCAAGTTCAATAGCTGTAGCCGGTCTCTTGCTTACTCGTTGCACCCATAGAGCTGAGAATGGTGATTGAGACAAATCACAGGAACACAGGAGTTGTCATAGTACATCAGATGATTGATCCAATTAGGCTGCTCTCCTGCTCTCAGAAGTGCCTGGTGCTTCTGAGGAATGTGGCACCTAGTTTAATTGCACACAGCTGTAGTGTGTCTGGAGAGTGGAGGGTAACTTCTTACTATTTCCCATAGGAGGTCACCTTAAGCCCTGCAGCATTCAACCTGATTGTGCATGAATAGGGTTCTGCTGTTTGGCTGGATTTTAAACAATAGCTCTATGAAGATCCATGCTGGGAGATTGTGGCAGGCTATTTATGTAATGGCTATCAACAGTAGCACGAAGGCTGTGCCATATCTTTCTAACTTTCCTTGGGGAAGCACAAGGAGTCATTGTCAACAGCCTGTCTGTGTTGGTGCATGGGGTTTCCATCACGTTCTGGAGGCACTTTCTATTCTGTCTCCACCCTCCCATCAACCGTACCTCCCATCAGGAAAAATGTGCCCTCAGGACACAGCATAGGGAGCCATTGACACTGTCGTAGCACTTGCAGCTCAACAGAGTAATAGCTTCTCGTTTGGTACCTGGATTCCGCAGGGGCTTGTGCGCTGGAAATCCCTGGATAGGAGTGCACAAAAGTGCTCCTAACCCCTGATCTCTAAAGTCCACCCAAAGAGCAGGCAGTTATTGAGCTGATCTGCTTCGCTGTATCTGCTCCTAATTATCCATCAGTATTACAGCGGGATCAGTGGCGAATCCCCGAGTTGCAGTTGCACTGAGACTGACAATTCCAGCAGGACGGAACTTGCTTTCTTTACATTTTAATGATTGAATTTAGTCTCCAAATTCGACACACTAGCTCATTGGAGCGTAGTTGAAACTTCTATGTGATTTTTAAAGTAAGATATTGACTAACATTTGCACAGGAAATGCTTTAAAATGCTCCTTTTCTGAGATCCTGCATAGAACAGAGTATCTTTGTTTGCCTCTTCCTCCCACTGAGCATTGTGGGACCTTGGAAATCACAATCTGGCCGCTCCTCAGTGTGTTATTTAAGGAGTGGCTTGCCTCTAATGGACCCATTGTACCACTGGGAGAGGAGGGTGGAAGGAGAGAATCAGTGATCTGAAGCAGACAGTGTTCCTAGTCCCATCATTTATTCAGCTGACGAGTGGGCTTTAATAAGAAAATACAGTAAAGTTCCTGAACCCATCTTGATCTTTCAGTTAGATACATTGTGTGTGTGTTGTAGATTTTCCTTTTGATTGGCATTGGAGAGGGACGTTCAGCATTGGTTTGTGCAGTTATTGAGATTATTTCCACTGTCCTTTCTTTCACACTGTAACTTGCAAGGAACTCGGTCACCTCATTTTAATGCTACTGGTTATCAGATTTCGGTATAAGCATCAGAGGGGCAGAGTGGTCCAGTTTCTAGGACACTGGACTCTGGGGGGAATCAGGAGATCTGAGTTTTCTGGCTCTGCCGTGTCTTTGTTTCCCCTCCCACCCTTTGTCTATCTTGCCTGTTTAGATTGTAAACTTGTTGGGGCAAGGACTGTCTCTCGCTATGTATTTGTACAGCGCCTAGCACAATGGGGGCCTTTAGACGCTACCATAATAATAACAGGAACACTTTGTCCCCGAGCTGCTAGTTCTTGTACCGTGCCCACCCACACTGCACGTAGCAGCCCAGATACTCTCTAGATATTGGACTCGCTTCCTCATTCTGACTTTCATCGTGGACATAAATGTTGAAAGTAGCTTCACACTTGTCCCATTGGCATCTCTGCCCAGGGATCTGGATTTTCTAGCATTCGCTCAGTGGGATAGCGACAGAGCAGATGGGTACATGTGATCTGCTCTTTGGAGATGGAGTCTGTTCTGTCCCATTGGAATTCATTCCCTTTTTGACTGGAGGAGGGCTAGCCAAGCTGGGCATCTCCATGTTGTAATATACTCCTCTGAGCCTCAATGGCAAGTATGATCTTTCTATCAATATGCTGAATAGGATAGAGGTGACCCTCTGTGGCAACAGAATAAGGAAAGAATGTAATGCCATTAGAAGTAAAAACGATCTAAAGCCATGTCATTTTAACTTCTTTCTACCTTTGTGACCCACTGGCTCCTCACTCCCACTCCCCTCCTTTATTATACAGTGGGGAGCAGGGCAGCAGAGGTGACCTGAGATACAGCAGTGCTCACTGGCAGCGGGTGAGCTTCATCTGTTCTAGCATTTCCAACCAATGGGTAATAGCAGCATTGATAGGCCGCATCTCCTCTTTGAGCCACAGTGCAAATGTTAAACTCACAATCCCCCTCTGAGGCGGGGAAATCATGTCTTCCTTATTTCATCGATGGGGAACTGACCTGCCCATAATTGCACGCAGTAAGTCAGTGTCAGAACTGGCCGATTTGAAGTCAAGGGGCACTTTTCCATTGACTCCAGGGAGTGCTGATTCAAGCCTTTGTCTTTGGTTCATGGAGCTAAGTTTTGATCCGACTGCCTCTCCAACACAGCATGTCCTGTGTGGAACAGAAGCAGACATTATACCTACCATCAGTACGTAGCAACAGAGCCTGGATTTTAACTGAAATATTCAATTTAAAATACGTAAGGCCAGAAGGGGACCACCACTCTGATCATCCAGTCTGGCCTCCTGCATGTGTATTTCACCCTGTAGGGTCCTGAACAGCATAGGAAACCGAGAGAAACTTTGAGATGCAAAACTGAGGTTGTTTGAGGTCAGCATTGATCAACCCAAAGGTTCAAGGCCTTTTCCAATGGGAAGAAAATCAGTTTCTTCCCAGATGTGAGCAAAATCTTTTTCTTTCTGCTCTCGTCCCTCGTGGACCGTTGGATCAGTCAACAAAGCAAGATTTCTTTCGGATTGTTGTAATTTCACTAGCACGTCTTTCAGTTTTACAAAGCATTTCCCCACCTTGAATGTTCAGGTGCGTGGGGTGCCCAGCACCTCTGTTCTTTCAGGTTTCAGAGTAGCAGCCGTGTTAGTCTGTATCCTCAAAAAGAAAAGGGGGACTTGTGGCACCGTAGAGACTAACAAATTTATTTGAGCATAAGCTTTCGTGAGCTACAGCTCACTTCATTGGATGCATTGAGTGAAAAATACAGTGGGGAGATTTATATACATAGAGAACATGAAACAATTGGTGTTACCATACACACTGTAACGAGAGAGTGATCACTTAAGGTGATCCATTACCAGCAGGAGAGCGGAGGGGGACCTTTTGTAGTGATGATCAAAGTGGGCCATTTCCAGCAGTTGACAAGAACGTCTGAGGAACAGTGGTGAGGGGGGACAAACATGGGGAAATAGTTTTACTATTTATGTAAATGACCCATCTACTCCCAGTCTCTATTCAAGCCTAAGTTAATTGTATCCAGTTTGCAAATTAATTTCAGTTCAGCAGATGGACAGTGCCAGAAGATTAGCCAGAAGTCACCTACTACAGGACAGGCCCAACAAAGAAAATAACAGAACGCCACTAGCCGTCACCTTCAGCCCCCAACTAAAACCTCTCCAGCTCGTCATCAAGGATCTACAACCTATCCTGAAGGACGACCCATCACTCTCACAGATCTTGGGAGACAGGCCAGTCCTTGCTTACAGGCAGCCCCCCAACCTGAAGCAAATACTCACCAGCAACCACACACCACACAACAGAACAAATAACCCAGGAACCTATCCTTGCAACAAAGCCCGTTGCCAACTGTGTCCACATATCTATTCGGGGACACCATCACAGGGCCTAATCACATCAGCCACACTATCAGAGGCTTATTCACCTGCGCATCTACCAATGTGATATATGCCATCATGTGCCAGCAATGCCCCTCTGCCATGTACATTGGCCAAACTGGACAGTCTACGTAAAAGAATAAATGGACACAAATCAGACGTCAAGAATTATAACATTCAAAAACCAGTCGGAGAGCACTTCAATCTCTCTGGTCACTCGATTACAGACCTAAAAGTGGCAATACTTCAACAAAAATATTTCAAAAACAGACTCCAAGGAGAGACTGCTGAATTGGAATTAATTTGCAAACTGGATACAATTAACTTAGGCTTGAATAGAGACTGGCAGTGGATGGGTCATTACACAAAGTAAAACTATTTCCCCGTGTTTATTCCTCCTCTCCCCCCCCCCCAAACGTTCTTGTCAACAGCTGGAAATGGCCCATCTTGATTATCACTACAAGAGGTTCCCCCCTCCCCCCCCAGCTCTCCTGCTGGTAATAGCTCACCTTACCTGATCACTCTCCTTACAGTGTGTATGGTAACACCCATTGTTTCATGTTCTCTATGTATATAAATCTTCCCACTGTATTTTCCACCTCATGCATCCGATGAAGTGAGCTGTAGCTCACGAAAGCTTATGCTCAAATAAATTTGTTAGTCTCTAAGGTGCCACAAGTCCTCCTTCTCTGTTCTTTCAGGCTCACTTCTTTAACCAGCAGAGGGCAAGGAGATTTCAGTGTAATGAGGGGATTAAAAGGAATGGATTATGTTGTTTGGAAAGGAGACAGAAAAGGTAGAAATACATCCTACCGAGAATGGTAGTGAAGAGGGTGCTCCTTTTCGCTGTGCCGTGTAATACAGCAACAGGGCATGTGACAAAGATAAAAGGATACATGTTTGAAATGGATGAAAGGAAATGCTTTTTGAACTTGGTATATAATAAACTTCTGGAATTCACCACCCTGGGATGTTATTGCAGTACATAGTTTAGCAAGATTCAAAGGTTACACAGGCTATCAACTCTTCAGCTGCAGGGCATAAACTGATTGCCAGCTGGGGTCATGGAAAAATATTTCCCTTCATGGAATTACATTGTGCAGTCAGCCAGGTGCAGGGGGAGCAGTTCACTTGCCTCTTAAGCTTCATGTGTGAGCCACTGCAAGAGGCAGGATGCTGGGCTAGTCTGTGGCTCTTTCATGGTGGAAAATGTGCAGCGTGCAGCTTGTTGAATAAAGAGATCCTCCAGGAGCATTTTCCAGCATAAAGAAAATTTTCCGTGCATCTGCCACAACCTGCCTTTTCTCTTGTCAGTGCAGTATTGAAAATGTCTCAGCTCCACCACTGGTGATGCGCTGACAGGGAAAGCAGTCATCAGAAATGGGTTAAGTGCCTGATCCAAAGTCCATTGAAGGCAGTGGGAGCTTTCCATTAACTTTAATGGGCTCTAGATCAGCGCCCAGGTCTGAATGCGTAGGTTAGCCTAGTGCAGGTGTGAGCAGCCACATTGCAAAGCCCTACCCAAACCCAAGTTGTTGTATCCTGTGTGTGTGTGTGTTGCTGCGGTTTCTGGGGATATATTCCAGGGTTGTTTGTGCTGTAGTACACTGAGCTGCTGTATGATTCTTTCCTAGTGAATTTTGGGAGAACTTGTCTGTCCTTCCGGGCACATGGGGAGAATTGTGGGAAGGCATTAGACATCTGCCGGCGCTTCAGTGTTTTAGCCTGCATCCTCACTGCAAAGCGGGTGTGTTAACAGCCTGTGCAAAAGCTCTAACCTGTACTCCGAGCTGGGCCAGCTAGCCTGGGTTTAAAACATTACCAACCCCAGATGTGAGAGGGTTTTGTGTGTGTGTGAACGGGAGAGGAGGGGAACGAGGGGCAACACCTGAGGAAGTGCCCGAGTGAAGGTGAAGACATACCTTTAATGCCAAGCCCTATTAGGCAATGGAATAGTGTGCCAGGGCACGTTTTGGCAACCCCATCACTTAGGACATTTAAAATGGGACTGGGTGGAAAATTAAAGAATCCCTGTAGGGCAAAATTCAGCATCAGTGGGGGAAGGACTAAATGAGCTAATTAGATGTCTTCCATTTCTAACTACAGATACTTTCGATGTTGCAAGAGTCTGGGTCAAGCAAAGTAATTAAGATGAAGGAAAAATTCTAAATGGAAAGAATCGCTTTCATTATCTGAGCATAACCATGTTGTGAATGTAACTATTTAAATTGCAGGTATCTAGATCTCCGGCAGTTTGGATCGGCCCCTCATGGAGGCTTCGGAATGGGGTTTGAGCGCTACCTGCAGTGCATCTTGGGAGTGGATAATATCAAAGATGTTATTCCTTTCCCGAGGTTTCCTCACTCCTGTCTTTTGTAGCTCCATGGCTGACTCACATGGACCTGTCTGCGCTGGAGTGTTTGTATGTATAATGTGTCTGCATATGACTGCTTGTGATGACATTGGGGAAAGAGGGAGAGAATTTTTGTACCAAATAATCTTGTGGTAAATTTAATGGAGGGAGTTTGGGAGCGAGACTTTTCTTGGGAGATTTTAGACCCTACCATTTCTTAGTATTATTTATATAGTACTTTAAATTGTCAAAGCAATGAATCTTGCTTAACTAAGGGGTTAAAATCCTCATGGGAGGAACAAAAGTTAGGACTATAATGAATAAACATTGTTGAGAGCTGATATTTTTTAATGCAAGATTGTTAATAAGGGGGTGCGACGCAAGGACAGGACTGGGAGCCAGGAGTGCTATGAGGCTTAATTGCATGTCTGTACAGTGCTTTGAAGACTGAGTGTGATAGAACTGCATGGTGTTACCATTACTGTGACACATTTGCTTTTAGGGTATGTCTACACTACGAAATTAGGTCGAATTTATAGAAGTCTTTTTTTTAGAAATCGGTTTTATATGTTCGAGTGTGTGTGTCCCCACAGAAAATGCTCTAAGTGCATTAAGTGCATTAACTCAGCGGAGTGCTTCCACAGTACCGAGGCTAGAGTCGACTTCCGGAGTGTTGCACTGTGGGTAGCTATCCCACAGTTCCCGCAGTCTCCGCTGCCCATTGGAATTCTGGGTTGAGATCCCAATGCCTGATGGGGCTAAAACATTGTCGTGGGTGGTTCTGGGTACATATCGTCAGGCCCCCGTTCCCTCCCTCCCTCCATGAAAGCAAGGGCAGACAATCGTTTTGCGCCTTTTTTCCTGAGTTACCTGTGCAGACGCCATACCACGGCAAGCATGGAGCCCGCTCAGCTCCCTGTCACCGTATGTCTCCTGGGTGCTGGCAGACGCAGTACTGCATTGCTACACAGTAGCAGCAACCCATTGCCTTGTGACAGCAGACGGTGCAATAGGACTGGTAGCCGTCATCGTCATGTCTGAGGTGCTCCTGGCCACGTCGGCCAGGAGCGCCTGGGCAGACATGGGCGCAGGGACTAAATTTGGAGTGACTTGATCAAGTCATTCTCTCAAGTCCTGCAGTCAGTCCTATTGAACCATCTTATGGTGAGCAGGCAGGCGATATGGATTGCTAGCAGTCGTATTGTACCATCTTCTGCCAGGCAGGCAAGAGATGAGGATGGCTAGCAGTCGTATTGTACCATCTTCTGCCAAGCAGCCCTGATATGTGGATGGCATGCAGTCCTTCTGCACCGTCTGCTGCCAGCCAAAGATGTAAAAGATAGATGGAGTGTATCAAAACAAGAAATAGACCAGCTTTGTTTTGTAATCATTTGCTTCCTCCCCTCCCCCGTCTAGGGGACTCATTCCTCTAGGTCACACTGCAGTCACTCACAGAGAAGGTGCAGCGAGGTAAATCTAGCCATGTATCAATCAGAGGCCAGACTAACCTCCTTGTTCCAATAAGAACAATAACTTAGGTGCACCATTTCTTATTGGAACTCTCCGTGAAGTCCTGCCTGAAATACTCCTTGATGTCAAGCCACCCCTTTGTGATTTTAGCTCCCTGAAGCCAACCCTGTAAGCCGTGTCGTCAGTCGCCCCTCCCTCCGTCAGAGCAACGGCAGACAATCGTTCCGCGCCTTTTTTCTGTGCGGACGCCATACCAAGGCAAGCATGGAGGCCGCTCAGATCACTTTGGCAATTAGGAGCACATTAAACATCACACGCATTTTCCAGCAGTATATGCGGCACCAGAACCTTGCGGAGCGATACCGGGCGAGGAGGCGACGTCAGCGCGGTCACGTGAGTGATCAGGACATGGACACAGATTTCTCTGAAAGCATGGGCCCTGGCAATGTATGCATCATGGTGCTAATGGGGCAGGTTCATGCTGTGGAACGCCGATTCTGGGCTCGGGAAACAAGCACAGACTGGTGGGACCGCATAGTGTTGCAGGTCTGGGACAATTCCCAGTGGCTGCGAAACTTTTGCATGCGTAAGGGCACTTTCATGGAACTTTGTGACTTGCTTTCCCCTGCCCTGAAGCGCATGAATACCAAGATGAGAGCAGCCCTCACAGTTGAGAAGCAAGTGGCAATAGCCCTGTGGAAGCTTGCAACGCCAGACAGCTACTAGTCAGTCGGGAATCAATTTGGAGTGGGCAAATCTACTGTGGGGGCTGCTGTGATGAAAGTAGCGCATGCAATCAAAGATCTGCTGATATCAAGGGAAGTGACCCTGGGAAATGTGCAGGTCATAGTGGATGGCTTTGCTGCAATGGGATTCCCTAACTGTGGTGGGGCCATAGACGGAACCCATATCCCTATCTTGGCACCGGAGCACCAAGCCTGCGAGTACATAAACCGCCAGGGGTACCTTTCAATAGTGCTGCAAGCTCTGGTGGATCACAAGGGACGTTTCACCAACATCAACGTGGGATGGCCGGGAAAGGTACATGATGCTCGCATCTTCAGGAATTCTGGTCTATTTCAAAAGCTGCAGGAAGGGACTTTATTCCCAGACCAGAAAATAACTGTTGGGGATGTTGAAATGCCTATAGTTATCCTTGGGGACCCAGCCTACCCCTTAATGCCATGGCTCATGAAGCCGTACACAGGCAGCCTGGACAGTAGTCAGGAGCTATTCAACTACAGGCTGAGCAAGTGCAGAATGGTGGTAGAATGTGCATTTGGACGTTTAAAAGTGTGCTGGCGCAGTTTACTGACTCGCTTAGACCTCAGCGAAACCAATATTCCCACTGTTATTACTGCTTGCTGTGTGCTCCACAATATCTGAGAGAGTAAGGGGGAGACGTTTATGGTGGGGTGGGAGGTTGAGGCAAATCGCCTGGCTGCTGGTTACGCACGGCCAGACACCAGGGCGGTTAGAAGAGCACAGGAGGGCGCGGTACGCATCAGAGAAGCTTTGAAAACCAGTTTCATGACTGGCCAGGCTACGGTGTGAAAGTTCTGTTTGTTTCTCCTTGATGAAACCCCCCCCCCGCCCCTTGGTTCACTCTACTTCCCTGTAAGCTAACCACCCTCCCCTCCTCCCTTCGATCACCGCTTGCAGAGGCAATAAAGTCATTGTTGCTTCACATTCATGCATTCTTTATTCATTCATCACACAAATAGGGGGATGACTACCAAGGTAGCCCAGGAGGGGTGGTGGAGGAGGGAAGGAAAATGCCACACAGCACTTTAAAAGTTTACAACTTTAAAATTTATTGAATGCCAGCCTTCTTTTTTTTTGGGAAATCCTCTGTGGCAGAGTGGCTGGTTGGCCGAAGGCCCCCCCCCACTGCATTCTTGTGCGTCTGGGTGTGGGGGCTATGGAACTTGGGGAGGAGGGTGGTTGGTTACACAGGGGCTGTAGTGGCAGTCTGTGCTCCAGCTGCCTTTGCTGCAGCTCAGCCATACACTGGAGCATACTGGTTTGATCCTCCAGCAGCCTCAGCATTGAATCCTGCCTCCTCTCATCACGCTGCCGCCACATTTGAGCTTCAGCCCTGTCTTCAGCTCGCCACTTACTCTCTTCAGCCCGCCACCTCTCCTCCCGGTCATTTTGTGCTTTCCTGCACTCTGACATTATTTGCCTCCACACATTCGTCTGTGCTCTGTCAGTGTGGGAGGACAGCATGAGCTCAGAGAACATTTCATCACAAGTGCGTTTTTTTTTCTTTCTAATCTTCACTAGCCTCTGGGAAGGAGAAGATCCTGTGATCATTGAAACACATGCAGCTGGTGGAGGAAAAAAAAGGGACAGCAGTATTTAAAAAGACGCATTTTATAAAACAGTGGCTACAGTCTTTCAGGGTAAACCTTGCTGTTAACATTACATACATAGCACATGTGCTTTCGTTCCAAGGTCGCATTTTGCCACCCCCCACCGCGTGGCTACCGCCTCAACCTCCCCCCTCCCCGTGGCTAACAGCGGGGAACATTTCTGTTCAGCCACAGGCAAACATCCCAGCAGGAACTGGCACCTCTGAATGTCCCCTGAAGAAAAGCACCCTATTTCAACCAGGTGACCATGAATGATATCTCACTCTCCTGAGGATAACACACAGAGATAAAGAACGGATGTTGTTTGAACGCCAGCAAACATACACTGCAATGCGTTGTTGTACAATGATTCCCGAGTACATGTTACTGGCCTGGAGTGGTAAAGTGTCCTACCATGAAGGATGCAATAAGGCTGCCCTCCCCAGAAACCTTTTGCAAAGGCTTTGAGAGTACATCCAGGAGAGCTGCGAATGCCAGGACAAATTAATCCTTTCACATGCTTGCTTTTAAACCATGTATAGTATTTTAAAAGGTACACTCACCGGAGGTCCCTTCTCCGCCTGTCGGGTCCAGGAGGCAGCCTTGGGTGGGTTCGGGGGGTACTGGCTCCAGGTCCAGGGTGAGAAACAGTTCCTGGCTGTCGGGAAAAGCGGTTTCTCCACTTGCTTGCTGTGAGCTATCTACAACCTCCTCCTCCTCCTCATCTTCTTCATCCCCAAAACCTGCTTCCGTGTTGCCTCCATCTCCATTGAAGGAGTCAAACAACATGGCTGGGGTAGTGGTGGCTGAATCCCCTAAAATGGCATGCAGCTCATCATAAAAGCGGCATGTTTGGGGTTCTGACCCGGAGCGGCCGTTGGCCTCTCTTGTTTTCTGGTAGGCTTGCCTCAGCTCCTTAAGTTTCACGCGTCACTGCTTTGGGTCCCTGTTATGGCCTCTGTCCTTCATGTCCTGGGAGATTTTGACAAAGGTTTTGGCATTTCGAAAACTGGAACAGAGTTCTGATAGCACGGATTCCTCTCCCCATACAGTGATCAGATTCCGTACCTCCCGTTCAGTCCATGCTGGAGCTCTTTTGCGATTCTGGGACTCCATCATGGTCACCTGTGCTGATGAGCTCTGCATGGTCACCTGCAGCTTGGCATGCTGGCCAAACAGGAAATGAGATTCAAAAGTTTTCGCAGTTCTTTTCCTGTCTACCTGGCCAGTGCATCTGATTTGAGAGTGCTGTCCAGAGCGGTCACAATGGAGCACTCTGGGATAGCTCCCGGAGGCCAATACCGTCGAATTGTGTCCACGGTACCCCAAATTCGACCCGGCAAGGCCTATTTAAGCGCTAATCCACTTGTCAGGGGTGGAGTAAGGAAATTGATTTTAAGAGCCCTTTAAGACGAAATAAAGGGCTTCATCATGTGGACGGGTGCAGGTTTACATCAATTTAATGCTGCTAAATTCGACCTAAAGTCCTAGTGTGGACCAGGGCTAAGAAACGGCTATTGCAAAGAGAGATTTTCCCGCCCTGAATTAAAAGCACGTACATGTTGAGGTTGGAAAGTAGATCCTAATCAGCTGAATCTTGTCAGGAAAAATGTCTCTTCTTTGTAACTGCCGGGGTGAGGGAGTTGGTGGCAGTTGATTTTGTGAGTCAGTAAAGATGCATGGTTGGCTTTTTCTCTCATGGTTTGTTTTTCAGTCAGAAGATTTTGGTGTTCATCATAATGGTGATTCTTTCAACCTGTTCAGCACCTGAATCCTTTACCTTACACCAGACACAGAGCTCTGTAAGAGGTGATCTATGCATACTGTCTTAAAGAGAACGCAAATTCGTGGGAAGAAAGAAGTGTTCGGTTAAGTGGAAGTACCTTTAAGCCTCTGAAGCCAATGTGTACTTTCCCATTTTTATTGAGAAATGATTTCACATTCAACTGGCCAAGCAGATTTACCTGTGTTTGTAACGCCACCCTACAACCAATACGCGCTCCCAGTCGTTGTATATCATGACTCTCGTCACTGCAGGATCTGATACAATTTTTGATAGATTTTTCCTCCTAATGCCCCTAGGTGGGTAGAGAAGAATTTCTCCCCGTTGTGCAGATGGGAACTGTGTGTAAATTAAGTGACTTGTCCAAGGTCACACAGGAAACTTGTGGTTGAGTTGGGACTTAAACCCAGGCTCCCTGAGTTGCAGTCCAGTGGCCCAGTCTACAGCGCCACCCTTCTTACCTTACACATACTGTCATAATCCTGACCTGTGAGCTCTCTGGGGCAGGGTTTTGTGTCTCTCATTTGTATAATGCCTACCACAACGGACCCTAAGCACTGCTGTAGAATAAATAATATGTACAGAAAAGGACTTAAAAAGAATTGGGTTATTTTTAATGACTACCATGTAAATAGCTGTATGGAGTGTGCAGGAAATGCAGCAGAGCTGAAATAATTTTTCTCCCACGCAGGTGAAAGAGAGTGAAAACCAATGATTAGATAACGTTACTCTCTCACAGATGTCACCAGTGTTGTGTGCAGCAGTTTTACACTATCAAACCTTGAGTATCCAAAAACTATTTCTCCAGGCCAAGGCCAGTGCCCCTCAATGTATCACACACATTGAGAAGTCCCTCTTGTATCTACATTCTTTTCATGTTTGATTAAACCAGTGTTTAGTGGGCATTTGTTGGTATATAGCTCCCAGTGTACTCCAGGGAATTATCCCTCTACATTTAGGGCCTGATTCAAAGACTCCCGTTGACATCAGTGGGCTTTGGGCCAGACCCTAATTTTGTAATTGCCCCTTGGTTAGCTGCAAGATTTGGAAAAACTCCTTCAGTCAGACAGCTCCATACTTGCAACATTACTAAGTAGCCTCCAGAAGTATATGGTATCCTTGCCAAAGTTATCAGTAACTTAAACTCACAAAATGGCCACACTGCCACAGCTGCAATCTTAGAGGCATTTGAACTAGTTCCCCAGCACACAGATTGTTTGTTTGTTATTGTTTAACATTTATTGGGCTGCCATAAGTGACAGGAATGAAGTGGGGAGTTGACAGCTCAATAAGCAGGCAGATCTGAATGACAGGGCAGGGTAAATGGAGAAGGGCCTTAAAGGCAAAGGTAAAGAGTTTACAGTTGATGCAGTGGAAGACACAAAGAAGGGGGTGATGTAGGCAGCCTGACAAGCCGGGAACAATGATTCTGGCAGCAGTGTTTTGAATGGGCTTAAGGGGAGCAGTGTGGTTAATACCAAGGCCAAAGAGGAGGAGATCACAATAGCATAAGATAACGATGGCCTGAGCCAAGAGCATTGACAGTCTGGACAAACAGAAAAGGTCAAACCTTTGAAATATTATGTATGTTGAAGTAGCAAAAGTTGGGCATATTGTTGAGAGAGCCAGGTCGAAGTTGCTGCCCGTATTAAGGCTGAAGGCTGGTGAGTGGTGTCCATGGTGATGGAGAAACTAGGGAGAGGTGAAGGCTTGAGATGAAGCGTGAGATTGATTGATAGATTTTGTGGCCGGAAGGAACCATTAGATCATCTAGTCTGACCTCCTGCATAACACAGGCCAGTTTAATCCAATTACCCCTGTATCAAGCCCAATAACTTGTTTTTCTAAAGCATATAATCCAGAAAGGCATCTGCTCTTCATTTGAAGACTTCAAGAGATTGTGAATCCACCACTTCTCTTGGCAGTTTGTTTCAATGATTAAGCGCCCTTATTGTTAATTTTTTTTTGCCTTATTTTTTATTTGGTTTTGTCTGGCTCTGGTTCTTGTTTTGCCTTTCTTCACTAGAGAACAAGATCAGAAGCTCAGTTGACCTTGAGGGCAATCTGTATCTCTCTGTGAAAGCTGTTGAAGAAGGAGGGACATTACCAGGATTGAGGCCCGGGTGGTGGTGCTGTCTGAGGGCATGTCTACACTTACCTCCGGAGCGATCGATCCAGCGGGGGTCGATTTATTGCGTCGAGTGAAGACGCGATAAATCGACCACTGAGCGCGCTCCCATCAACTCTGGTACTCCACCAGAGTGAGAAGTGTACGCGGAGTCGACGGGGGAGTGTCAGCAGTTGACCTACCCCAGTGAAGACATTGCAGTAAGTAGCTCTAAGTATGTTGACTTCAGCTACGCTATTTTCATAGCTGAAGTTAGGTAACTTAGACTTAGTCTCCCCCCCACCTCCCCAGGTGTAGATCAGGCCTGAGGCGAGTATTGTGACTGGCACTCCTGCACATTTGAAAGTTCCTGTGAGAGCTGAACTGCACGTTAGGCCTCCTGGTCCCTACTCCCTTGCAGCCAGTTTTCTAGGTATCTAGTGAGTGTGGGAGTCCTTTCCCTTCTGAGGCTGGCATTGTTAGCATCATGCCTGTCAAGGTTCCTCCCCCACTCTGATCTCTAGGGTACAGATGTGGGGACCTGCATGAAAAACCTCCTAAGCTTATCTTTACCAGCTTAGGTCAAAACTTCCCCAAGGTACAAAGTATTCCACCCGTTGTCCTTGGACTGGCCGCTACCACCACCAAACTAATACTGGTTACTGGGGAAGAGCTGTTTGGACGCGTCCTTCCCCCCAAAATACTTCCCAAAACCTTGCACCCCACTTCCTGGACAAGGTTTGGTAAAAAGCCTCACCAATTTGCCTAGGTGACTACAGACCCAGACCCTTGGATCTTAAGAACAATGAACAATCCTCCCAACACTTGCACCCCCCCCTTTCCTGGGAAATGTTGGATAAAAAGCCTCACCAATTTGCATAGGTGACCACAGACCCAAACCCTTGGATCTGAGAACAATGAAAAAGCATTCAGTTTCTTACAAGAAGACTTTTAATAAAAATAGAAGTAAATAGAAATGAAGAAATCCCCCCTGTAAAATCAGGATGGTAGATATCTTACAGAGTAATTAGATTCAAAAACATAGAGAACCCCTCTAGGCAAAACCTTAAGTTACAAAAAAGATACACAGACAGAAATAGTTATTCTATTCAGCACAATTCTTTTCTCAGTCATTTAAAGAAATCATAATCTAACACATACCTAGCTAGATTACTTACTAAAAGTTCTAAGACTCCATTCCTGGTCTATCCCCGGTAAAGACCAGCATATAGACAGACCCAGACCCTTTGTTTCTCTCCCTCCTCCCAGCTTTTGAAAGTATCTTGTCTCCTCATTGGTCATTTTGGTCAGGTGCCAGCGAGGTTACCTTTTGCTTCTTAACCCTTTACAGGTGAGAGGAGCTTTCCCCTGGCCAGGAGGGATTTCAAAGGGGTTTACCCTTCCCTTTATATTTATGACAATGCCATAGGTACGTAATGCTAGCAGGTATTGCCAAGGATGAGTTGATTTTCCCTGGGATTTCCATTTGGTATGTCATGCATTTCCCTCAAATTTTATCCTAGAATAAAAGGAAGTTAATTTAGAGGTTTGGGAAGGTCGTTCCTGTTGGATGTATAGTAAGTGAAGCATGCCAAGAATTTTGCTGGGTCTTCATTTAGAATCTGTCTTCATTTACTGGTTGCAGCAAAATAAAGACTTTTTCACTTTTGGAAGTAAGATCCTCTTGATTATTTACACTTAGCAATCCGTTCTTAATGTAAACATGCACTAAGGCAAGTTAAACTGGGGGCTTTTGAATGCAGTAAAGAGATTGGCTCTCATGTCTGGGTCTCCAGCCCAGACACTACATGCAACCACAAAGCCAGTCAGCGAGCCATCACTGCCACATCTCAGGTTTCTCAGCAATCCAGCGGCCTGAGATTAGACTTGATACATTTAATAAACTTTGCTTGTTGTCCACAAAAACTGCATGCATAGAAACTGGCACAGAATTGTGGGAGAGGAATTTTGAAGCACTGCAAATAACAATAATAATAATAAAAATGCTGTTGATTCTGAACACTGATGTACTGAAACTCTTTCAGCCAAGAGCTTCTCCATAGGAATATTGAACATCCGGAGATTCCAAGAAGGCTACAAACGTGAGGATACTGTGTTTCTTCCAAACTATCTAGAGAAGAGATACTTTTAGATTCAGTTTTAACTTTTAAAAAATAAAATACTTTAGCTTCCTCACCTCTAAATATTACAGGGGCCCAGTAATCAGCCTGGGAGCTGGGGCCCATCTATCATAAAGATTATTTAGTATTTGTATAATGGTAGGGCCTGGCCGCTTCAGTCATGGACCAGGATCCCATTGTGCTAGGTACTGTACAAGCACAGGACAAAAAAGACAGCCATGGCCCCCAAATATTGACAATCTCCCCATGCAAAACTGCCACAGTTACCAATGGCAGGAACACCTGCACTAGAGTCCCACTAGCATATAGGGCAGCTGGCAGGGGACACGGGTTTGGAACCTATTCCCCTGCTTGGCCCATAATAGCTGATAGTTGATAGGCCATTGGGGCCCATTGGTTTTCCCCAGGAGTGAGGGGCTAGCAAAGCTCTAATCAGAGATCTTAAATATGGGTTTGGCTGTGGGCTAGTATTAGGTGTTGTAGAAGGGGGAGGGGAGTTACAGAAGTGATTTGTTCCATGGGGGTTTGAGAATTGTCATGAGCAAAGGACAGACAGACGTTCCCTTTTAATGGATGGTTGTGAGGTTTGAATAAATAATAAACGACGGTTCTGTGCCATTAAAACCCAATATCATTGGTTTATGGCTGTGGTCTTTGCCTCCCCCGTAGACCAAAAGAGAATTACAGTAGAACCTCAGAGTTACAAACACCTTGGGAATGGAGGTTGTTTCTAACATTGAAATGTTTGTAACTATGAATAAAATGGTATGGTTGTTCTATCAAAAATTTACAACTGAACCTTGGCTTAACTCAGTTTAGAAACTTTACTATGCAGAATTAAAATGCTTATTTTAACCATCTTAATTTAAATGCAGCAAGCACACAGACATAGTTTCCTTACCTTGTCAAATCTTCTTTTAAACTTTCCCTTTAGTTTTATAGTCGTTTACACTTAACATAGTACTGTATTTGCTTTCCTTTTCTTCTTTCTTTTTGTCTCAGCTGCTGCCTGATAGCGTACTTCCAATTCCAAATGATGTGTGTGGTTGACTGGTCAGTTCCTAACTCTGAGGTTCCACAGTACAAAATTGGACTGGAGGGGAAAGGGGAGATATTTTATATAAAGACTGGCAGTCATAATTTCCTAGCTCTTCCCAAAGCTGTGGAGGCCACAAGAGATCATTACCTCTCAAGGCTGAGCTTATTGTTTTATTTCATCGTTCCTTGCAAAGCTGCACCTTTCAAAGGATCATAAAGTTTGATTGTATGATCCAGATGGGAGAAAGATGTGTTGAATTTCACTGAAGAGTTCTGTACCAGTTGTTTCAGAAGCAGGCCAGACATGGGTCTGAGCAGGAGTTCAGATACTGTTTAGCGGTTTCTACTCAAAAGTATTATTATAGTTATTTGTATTACAGTCGTGCTTAGATTGTGACATTGCACTCCATATGTTTTATGGAAATATGCTTATGAGTGTGAATATGATGTAACTGGAATATGTTTTATGCAAAAGGTCTCTTGTAAGGTATCATTACAAAGGCTATAACCTACTGAATATATTTCTCCTATTTGTATGCATGTATCATTCTTGTATCTGAAGCTAGAAATATGAAGTATAACTCTGAGGTCCTATTGTAATTAATGCAACATGTGGGCCATTAATGGTGGTTTAGAATCTTGATGGCTCCCATTGACTAGGACAGTTGGTTGTAGATGGTTTATTTACCTGCAAACCTTCCTGGGTACGTGTGGAATGGAGGCTGGAGTCTCACAGGACATGTGAACATGTCACCTGATACTGGAATCCATCTGAAACCTGGTGCTTTTCCTTTTAGAAGGAGCGGTGGGGACCCAGAGAGACAAAAGAGTCCTGCCTTGTGCCAAAGCTATAAAAGGGGGTGGAATAGAACAAGGGGGGTGCAAATTATGAGAACGCCCCTGCTTTCCACCTAAGAACTAACAAGGACTGTATCGGGGAAAGGATTGGGCTCAGACTAGGAAGGCGTCTAGTCGATGAAAGAAGCTTATTGGAACATCTCTGAGGGTGAGGTTTTACCGTTCAGTTTCTGAATGTATTAGGCTTAGACTTGCGAGTTTTTGCTTTATTTTGCTTGGTGACTTACTTTGTTCTGTCTGTTATTACTTGAAACCACTTAAATCCTACTTTTATACTTCATCAAATCACTTTTGTTTGTTAATTAACCCAGAGTAAGTGATTAATACCTGGGGGAGCAAACAGCTGTGCATATCTCTCTATCAGTGTTAGAGGGCGGACAATTTATGAGTTTACACTGTATAAGCTTTATACAGAGTAAAACAGATTTATTTGGGGTTTGGATCCCATTGGGAGCTAGGTGTCTGGGTGCTGGAGATAGGTGACCTGCTGAGCAGTTTTTGGTTAAAGTTTGCAGCTTTCGGGGTGTGGACCACACCTGGGTCTGTGTAGCAGCAGGCTAGTGTGTCTGGCTCAACAAGGCAGGGTTCTGGAGTCCCAAACTGGCAGGGAAAACAGGCTCAGAGGTAATCTCAGCATGTCAGATGACAGTCCCAAGGAGGTCTCTGTGACCGAACCCGTCACAGCAGGCTAGACATGGGTCTGAGCAGGAGTTCAGATACTGTTTTGTGGTTGCTACTCAAAGTATTATTTGTATTACAGTTGTGTCTAGATGTCCTATCAGCAATTAGGGCTCCATAGGGCTAGATTTTGTACTCGCACATAGTAAGGAGACAGCCGTTGCGCACATAGAGCTTGCAGTCGAACTAGACAAGGCAGACAAAGAGTAGGAGAAGGGCAAGATTAGGTGTCTTTCTGAAAGACATCCTCTAGCTCCACCAGAAGTTATGGACTTGAGGCAGAAATTGCTGGGTCTGTGCTATGCAGGAAGTCAGATTAGATGAGCCTAATGGTCCCTTCAGACTTTAAAATTTTCAAGTATTACTGTCCCCATTATATAGTTGGAGAACTGAGACACATAGAGACTAAGCACCTTGCCCAAGGAGGAAATGTGTGGTATAGCCAGGAATTGAGCCAAAACCAGTTGATTACAAGCCCTGTGTCTAGTCCACAAGATCATCCCTCTCCATTTACCTTTGGTTTGATTATGCTGCTAGGAGCAATGCTGAATGTTTGTAACTGATCTGGTTTAAAATGTGTTTTGTCCTATTATAATTTCTTGGTCTACGTTTTAATTATTTGTCTTCAGGACTCTTCTTGTTTCAATAAGAATGTGGCAATACGTTTAATAATTTTTTATTAATCTTACAATGAAATATTGTTTAGAATAATTGCTGCAAAGAAAATAAAAAGTAAACTTTCATTTATTTGCGAAGTCTGTTTTTTGTGGTTTTTGCTCTTCGGTTCACCAATAATTTTAATATACATTTATTTATTGCCATTCATTCAAGACTCTCAGGCCATTTTACAAACATTCCCGTTTGCACAGTATTGTGAAGGCATAGGCCTATATTTTCAAAAGGCACCAGTGATTTTGGTGTCTCATTTTGTGGGCGCCCACCATCAGACCCCCTCAACATGACCTGATTTTGCAGAAAGTATTGAGCTCTCTGAGTCTTGAGCAGTTGCATTTAGGAGTCCCAGAGATGGACCAGAACCCCACTGTGCTAGGTGCTGTACAAGCTCCACAAAAAGATGGGACCTGCCCCAAAGATTTTAAAATCTGAGTATAAGACAGGAGACAGCAGGTGGAGACTGACAGATGGAGCAAGAACAAGAAAACTATGAGACAATACTGGTGGACGCGAGAGGCAGTGGGTCTGAGTCTGCCAGCTTCCTACCCCTCAGCCCTAGCTAATTTGCCTAAATTCACAGAGCAAGTCAGGCAGAGCCGGGAACAGAGCCCAGAAAACTAGTCTTCTAGGTGCAGATCCTCAAAGGCATTTAGGCTCCTAACTTCCATTGAAACTAATCACAGTGAGGATTTTAAATTCCTTTAAGATTTGGCCCCTAGCTCCTTGGGCGATGTCTTCACTAGCAAAAAAGGGCACATTTTTAAACTGTTTTTAAAATCCTATGAAGATAAGGCAGTTGTAGTTATAACTTGTTATGACTCATTGGAGTAAACCTTCACCTCCTTGGTATCCTTTCTGTCTTGGATTATTCTTTAGAGTCCCCCATGATACCCAAGCCACTCTGGAATTCAAGTCACAGGGAAAGTAACTACATTTATAAAAGCCAGGGCTTTGTAATGACACCTCTCTAGTGCCTTTTGCCTTCAGAGGCCTTTGGACATTAATTAGTTAATGTCTGTGAAGCTGCTGAGCCTGTGGTAAGTGGTGTGGTTAGCCAGACACCCCTATGTGAAGTAGGGTTGTTATCTGTGTTTTACAGTTAAAGAAATTAGACACAGCTCAGCCTCACACAACCATTTTTCTTCACATCTCAGACATTGCTTTAACACTGGTGCAACTCTGCTGAGGGGTAGAGATATGTTTGTGCAAGATTATAATTTAGAGGCACTCCCTCATAAGGGGCACAGTATTTTATGAAGATAGGAATTCTGAGATGTGCCCAGCTAGCCGCGGTGGAGAACAAGTGTAGTTGGGTACAGTAGTTCACCACAGAAGCTCTCTAGTTCATTTTATTAGAAGTGTTATTCCTTTCTCATTCACTGGTTTGTTGTTTAACAAACCCTGAAAGTCTCACATAGTGTCAGAAGTGCTGAGTGAGAAGGAGACTACAGGAATTGTGAGGTTAACTCCTGTGTTTGAAACTGAAAGCAGAGGAAAGGGGAGCACATGGAGCAGCAAAGAGAGAAGAACAAAGACTTGTGTAGGAATCTTATGAGCACAGTAGTAGCTTGACTAACTTAAGAAGGGAAAAAAGCCAAGAATGGATGTGTTGCGAACTCCATGCAGTCTGCAACTGTTATGCAATGTTGCAGAGAATTGGAAAAAGAACCCAGAGATTTGAATTGTATTTGGCTGCTGTGGGGCAGAGGAGAAAAATGATAAAGTACCATCATCAATCTTTTTGCATGTTGTTGGGAGGAAGCATTAGATATTTATAACAACTAGGGCTGTCAGTCGCAGTTAACTCACGCAATTAACTAAAAAAAAAAGTATCACGATTAAAAAAATTTAATTGTGATTAATCACAGTTTTAATTGCACTGTTAAACAATAGAATACCAATTGAAATTAATTAAATATTTTGGATTTTTCTACATTTCCATATATTGTATTCTATGTTGTAATTGAAATAAAAAAGTGTACAACAACAAAACAACGTAAAACTTCAGAGCCCACAAGTCCACTCAGTCGTCGTCCTTGTTCAGCCAATCGCTCAGGCAAACAAGTTTCAGAGTAGCAGCCATGTTAGTCTGTATTCGCAAAAAGAAAAGGAGTACTTGTGGCACCTTAGAGACTAACAAATTTATTTGAGCATAAGCTTTCGTGAGTTACAGCTCAGAAGTGAGCTGTAGGTCATGAAAGCTTATGCTCAAATTTGTTAGTCTCTAAGGTGCCACAAGTACTCCTTTTCTTTTTAAGACAAACAAGCTTGTTTACATTTACAGGAGATAATGCTGCCCTCTTCTTAGAATCATAGAAGATTAGGGTTGGAAGAGACCTCCGGAGGTCATCTAGTCCAACCTCCTGCTCAAAGCAGGACCAACCCCAACTAAATCATCCCAGCCAGGGCTTTGTCAATCCGGGCCTTAAAAACTTCCTAACGATGGAGATTCCACGACCTCCCTAGGTAACCTAGTCCAGTGCTTCACCACCCTCCAAGTGAAATAGTTTTTCCTAATAGCCAACCTAGACCTCCCCCACTGCAACTTGAGACCATTGCTCCTTGTTCTGTCATCTGCCGCCACTGAGAACAGCCTAGCTCCATCCTCTTTGGAACTCCCCTTCAGGTAGTTGAAGGCTGGTATCAAATCCCTCCTCACTCTTCTCTTCTTCAGACTAAATAATCCTAGTTCCCTCAGCCTCTCCTCATAAATCATGTGCCCCAGCCCCCTAATCATTTTTGTTGCCCTCCGCTGGACTCTCTCCAATTTGTCCACATCCTTTCTATAGTGGGGGGCCCCCAAAACTGGGTGCAATACTCCAGATGTGGCCTCAGCAGTGCCGAATAGAGGGGAATAATCATTTCCCTCAATCTGCTGGCAACACTCCTACTTTTGTAGCTGGCATTGCAAGGTATTTACTTGCCAGATATGCTAAACATTTGTTTATCCCTTTGTGCTTCAGCCACCGTTCCAGAGAACATGCTTCCATGCTGATGACGCTCATTAAAAAAAAAATGCATTAATTAAATTTGTGACTGAACTCCTTGGGGGAGAAGTGTATGTCCCCTGCTCTGTTTTATCCACATTCTGCCATGTATTTCATGTTACAGCAGTCTCAGATGATGACCCAGCACATGTTCATTTTAAGAACACTTTCACTTCAGATATCACAAAACGCAAAGAAGGTAGCAATGTGAGATTTCTAAAGATAGCTACAGCACTCGACCCAAGGTTTAAGAACTGAAGTGCCTTCCAAAATCTGAAAGGGATGCTTTCAGAAGTCTTAAAAGAGCAACACTCCGATGCGGAAACTACAGAACCCGAACCACCAAAAAAGAAAATCAATCTTCTGCTAGTGGCAGCTGACTCAGATAATGAAAAGGAACTTGCGTCGGTCCACACTGCTTTGGATTGTTATCAAATAGAATCCGTCACCAGCATGTGCCCTGGAATGATGGTTGAAGCATGAAGGGACATGAATCTTTAGCACATCTGGCATGTAAATATCTTGCGACGCCGGCTACAATAGTGCCATGAGAACGCCTTTTCTCACTTTCAGGTGACATTGTAAACAAGAAACGGGCAGCATTATCTCCTGCAAATGTAAACGGACTTGTTTGAGTGATTGGCTGAACAAGAAATAGTACTGAATGGACTTGCAGGCTCCAAAATTTTACATTGCTTTATTTTTGAATGCAGTTTATTTTGTACATATTCTAAATTTATAAGTTCAGCTTTCATGATAAAGAGAGTGCACTACAGTACTTGTATTAGATGAATTGCAAAATACTATTTATTTTGGGTTTTTTTAGAGTGCAAATACTTATAATCAAAAATAAATATTAGGTGAGCACTACACTTTGTATTCTGTGTTGTAATTGAAATCAATGTATTTGAAAATGTAGAAAACATCTGAAAATATTTAAATGGTATTCTGTTGTTTAACAGGATGATTAATCACGATTAATTTTTTTAATCGTGACTGATTTTTTTAATTGCTTGACAGCCCTAATAACTTTTAAGTTTGAAGAAGGTAAAAACATGAAGTTAAGCAAAATACTGACTAAATTTGAGGAACATTGCATGTCAAAAAGGAATGAAACCTTTGAAAGAGACAATTTTTTACATGCATGCAAAAAACTGAAGACACCATAGAGCAATATGTCACAGAATGAAGGAGACTCAGTAAAACCTGTGACTCTGGTGAGGTGACAGCTTCTCTGATTAGAGATGGAATCATTTGTGGCATTAAAGACAATGTGTTAAGAGAGAGACTGCTCCCTGACGGATGCTTAACTTTAGAAAAAGCTCTCCAGATACGCAGAGCTGCAGAAACTGTGAAAGCACAAGCCAAAGAGCTGAATTCACCAGAAGGGAGGTATATCCATGCACTAAGTACAAAAGAATATAGTCAAAAAGGATCAAATCAAAAAGTGGAACCACTCCCTGTGAAAACCACTGCTGTGGGGGAGACTGGGTTTCAACAGTTATGTGGAAGGTGTGGATCACAGATGGCCCCAAACCGTGTTTTGCCTTTCGGAAACTGTTACGAATGTGGGGAAAATAATCATTTTGCAAAATGTTGCAGATCCCAAATGCAGAGAAGTCAAGCGCATTCAGCTGAAGGCAACCTGTTGAGGAGTTTTACATAGACTTTCTGGGATCGAGCCTGATGAGAGGGACTGGATACTGCCTATGACAGTAAATGGAACAATTATTCCACTAAAACTGGACACAGGAGCTCATGTTAATATTCTGTCTGAACAAGATTATGAGAGACTGAAAATAAAAGCAAAACTGGGACCAACAAAAATAAAAGTAACTGGTTATTCTGGAACAAGTACACCAGTGAAGGGGAAGTGCATTGTTAGCATCAACCATAAAAACAACATGTACAGGCTCCCATTCATTGTAGTGCCAAAGGAGGTGACACCAATTTTAGGCTTGGCTGCCTGTGAAAAATTCAGTCTGGTAAAACGGGTGCTCTCACTACAAGATACTGAACCTGGCTATAAGGTCCTCATGTGGGAACATCATGACCTGTTTCAAGGGTTGGGTTGCTTGGAGGATG